TGCTGGCAGAGTGGTTGACAGTGAAGCGTGTAATGTCCCACAGTTGCCAAAAGTGCAGGGTCCGGCTGGCTATTGGAGATATGGGTGTAATGGTGTGAGGTTGGCTTGGATTTACAGCCAAATACGTTCCGACAAAAGATGAAACTGATACCTTTTGGAGCCAGAACTTTGTATAGCTTTGAATGTAATGCAGTTACGTGTGAAATATTTAGGACTTTAAGGACTTAACTTTTTACGGCAACAATGTCCTTTTGAACGGACAGCTGAAGGACAAGCAGTGTAGTGTGTGACCTAAAGCAAAACAATAATATAGGATGACTGATGTAATTGACCACAATCACCACAAGTCAAAACTAAAAATTTACTTCTGTAACAAATAGAAAGACGAGATTAGAGCTTTGGAACAGTAAAGCTCAGAAACATCTATAAGTGACCGTTACTTATAAAATTCTACTTAGTTTAGTTTATTTGGTGCCGTAAATAGTATACATACCAATAATAATGCATAACAATGCATGATAATGCAATCATTCATCCAGTCAATCAATAAGTAAAACTAGTTCCATTCAGTATCAGTAACCACATCATCCATACACTATTTCCATCACTACACTTCATGTTGCTGCATTCATTCAAGGAAATCAAGGCCTATCAATACAGATTACACTACACTATCAGCTATTCTGCTCACACATTTTCAACATTGTCAATGTGTGTAATAATATATTTTATAAAGCTGATTTTGTTTTATAACATTGCCTACTTAGGAGATCAAATAGATCGAAATAGTGCACTATCATATCAGACTGTCAAAACTGGTTAGTTGCATACTCCACCACCATACTTTTGTTCAGTAGGAATGGGCAATCCATTTTTGTACTAGTCTAGCACAAACAAGTTCACTCATAAGCAAGTTTACTGGTTAACAGTTGCAACCAAGAGAAAAAGAGACAACATGTATTGTCACAGCAATGAGTCATGTATGTGATTAACTATATAGTTTCATGCTAATTGTATTACCATGCCATAATGAACCAGTCAGTGTGGTAAAAACTTGGGCCTTGGATTTATGATGATTTATTGTCATCTAGTGGTCACTAAGGAGAATGCAGTCAAAAGACTGAGAATATATCAAAAAAAGCTCAGCAGTTTTGTCATTTCCACAAAATGATCATGAAAATACAGACAATGTTCTGGATAAGACTATAATATATATTAGAATATTTTCATTAGGAGAGGGAAGAGAAAAGGTGTGATAAGTTTGGCTCATAATGGCTTTTACTAACAAGGCCACCAGGCTGAAGTAGAGAAACACGAGAAAATAACCAGGCACCAGCAACACTAAACCCCACCCCTGCATTCACCATGCTCTTGAAATTTCAAAACTATGTGTTGCATGTATCTATGTAGCTATTATTTATTTACCATTTTACATGAGTTCCAGATTCATCCAGAGCATTTTATTTATTTATTTTTTTAATAATTTTTTGGGTGGGGGGCGCCTTGACCAATAAATATATATGATAAATATATGTATTATACGTATATAGGCTATGTGGGGACTGTTCTCCAATCAGGGGTAGAGAGAGACTGAAAGGGGGACAGAAACCCTTACGACTTAAAAATTGTGGCCAAACCTTCTTGTCAGATCTTAGAAGTTAAGCAGGGCTGGGCCTGGTTAGTACTTGAATGGGAGACCGCTGGGAAAATCAGGTGCTACAGTGGAGTGTCAGAGGCAAAAACTGTCCTCAAGATGTGAGTAAAATCTCTGAAGTCGTCCAGGTAGAGTCCATTGCAAAAGGAGAAATTGAATTTGTCAATTCGACAAAAGTTTATTTTGGTTGAAATAAAATACATAATAAAATGAAAATAAAATAAAATCACCCACATTGCCTAGTATGAACGTGGTGTGTGTTAGTGTGTGTGTGTGTGTGTGTGTGCTGGTGGGGGTTGGAGGGGCCAATGGTGTAGATATGCAGCCTTGCTTCAGTCAGTCTGCCCCAGGGCAGCTGTGGCTACAGTAGTAGAATACCACCACCAGGTATGGAGTAAATTAATAATGCATCAAATTCTAAACCGACTCTGAGCGTCTGGAAAAGCACTATATAAAACAATTTCATTATTATTATTAAAAATTAGATGCAACTGAATTATATTAATCACATAAGAAAGTTATTTTACTTTCTTAAAATAATACACTGCATTTTAAAATAGACTATGGGCCTAATCAATATTTCTGACATTGAAAAATAATTCTATGAATTATAAATTACATATTAGTCCTAACGATTTCCAACTTTAAACAAGTTTTTAGCTTTTGATCTTGTTGGTTATGACATAAAAGTATATTACACATATAATACAAAGAAGAGATAAAAATAAAGTAAGCAGTAAGGGTAGTATGTAGACTATTAGTGTAACAGCCTACCTGTCTTCAAATCCAAAATCCAAAAATCACTTCTCCCCTCTATATCGCCATCTTCTGGATGGAGCTGGAAATGCAGAACATGTGCATTAAATTGATTAGCTTAGCATAAAAATAGGCAATGAGGAATCTAACAATGCAGGCTTGATTCTCTAAGATTAAACATCTGCATAGTGAAAGAAAAACTCACACTGTAAGTTTACGCGTTTACATTCAGGTTAGCAAAATTTTCTCAATCTTTCTCAAATCGCACCTTCTGTTTCAATTTACTTCATAATTTGAGGAAGCAGTACGATGTACTTTATTATTTTTTTAATTGCACCAGGACATAGATCTTACCAGTGAAGTGTTGTTTGTAATCTTCTATCCTGTTGAAAATCCTTACTGTACTTCAGCCCAGTCCAGACGCCTCCACTTAGATGTAATTTCAGTTTTGAGGCTCTAGAGGCCAGTGTTTGTTCACATGATGAGGGGAGACTTTCTGTTTGGTTATATTTTATGTATTTCATTATGATAATCATCAGAAAGGGGGAATGATATTGAAGGATAAGCATCAGACCACGCCCAATAGACTCCAACGTTTAAACTACCTAGTAATCATATTTTTTCAATACAATGCAGTTCAATATCAATGACACATACTGCAAAAATAACTAGTGAAAATAAATAGTGGTAATTGAGTCAGTTGAGTCAAATGACTGCTGTTTAGTCCAGTGAGTATTGTTGTGTCCTTTGGCAAGACACAATCACAATGGCTCTCTCAATTAGAATGGCATTTGGAGCACTGTCCCCTGTCCCAACAGATTTATCCAAAGCCAAAGATTTGTTCCAGTTTAATACAAGAAATGTCACGAATTTTCCTATTTTTGACCAATTTTAAACCTGCTAGCAGTAAAGGTGGCAATATATTGTGATTTGTTTAGCTAAAATACAGAAAACCTTGCTTGAAAATTACCATAAGGCAAAAAAAATTTACTGACTCTGGTCACTATAATTAATAGAAAGGAAAATCTTAACTTTCTTTTGCTTTTTCATGCCTCTTTCCAGCTTTTTCAGATTTGACAAGAAGTGAATAGCCCATGATGCATTGTCTGAAGTGTTTTCAGATGATGATTGCTGGAGTGCCTGGGTTTACTCAGAGCAGACTCTCTTCATGGTAAACATCCATCACCAGTGTCTTTTATGAGTCTCCTCCTCTGCAGGTTTGTGCTTTTCTCTTATTACTCTTGTGTGCTTTTGCTGAATTGTCTGCACTTTTTGGCATTGCTCTGTGTCTGTGTCCTGGAAAACTGTTCACTGGGCCAGTGGTTGTCATGCTTTGAGTCTCACAGCAAAACTTACATTAGATTTTACAAACTCAGGCATGCTTTTGGCCACCAATCAAACCAGCTCTTTACGCACCAAAATATCTGTTTTCACTTAACATAAAACGCAGTGAACCCCGCAGACGTGACTTGAACACATATGCTGTTTTATTTTGACTGTACCTGTGTGCTCTAATTACTTATAATGCTTGGAGAATGGTACTTTCCAATACTATGAGAAACCTTTTGGCCGCTTACATCATTCTTTTGATTTGACATAGTGCTTTGATGACTCATGGGGCAGTTGACAGCTGTTTCCAGACCTCTGAGATACGGTGAGAAATAGATTTAAGGTATTTGCTCTGTTTATGTGTCTTTTAAGTGGAACTGAGCTCCAGAGACGCATGTTGTGGAAATGCAACCTGCCCCAGCTAAGTGAATCCACATGGTCTAGGGTTTGGAAAGAACCAGCACCCAGCCTGCTCTGACCTTTCACCTTTTTATTATCCAATTGGCCTCGCTGTATGTGCGGGAAAACTCTGCATTAGTGATAACAGACTGCTGGAATAAACATGAGCCATTCTTAAGAAAGATGAATCACAAACAGACATTCATGTTTTACTCAAATCATAAGAAGTCTCAGATTTCACTGCATTGGGTTTGTATTTCAATATAAAAACAGCAGCTGGCTGTATTAGCTACTGCATAATATATAAGACAAGAAGAACTCAAGACAATGTACTTCAAATTTGCTTTGTACAGTAGTAAGTATTGGAATTCATCGTAGTGTTTTTATTCTGAATTTGCACATCAGTTTTGCAACATTATACGATAAAGAATAAGACACTTGTTTGTATTATTTATTATCCTTAAAGCGTTAGTACAGTAACATGAAATACAGTAAGGGTGATTAGTGTAATAGCACCAGATTTCATTCATACCTTTCCACAGGATACATATACCATTTATAAAGACATCTTTGGAAAAAGCATGGCAAACAAACACTAAAAACTGCCATTCATTTTAGCACTCTTTACATTTCAAGTATCAATATTAAAAAATACACATATATGTATCATAAGTTATAATCCTTAACTGTTATCTGAAACAAAACAGGATTACATTTTCTACAAAAAAAAAAAAAAAAATGGCACATAGTGCATCAAGTATTACATTTCTGATACAGATATCATAGCACATTGGCCAACTCAGGATAGCCAAAATATTTCTAGCTGCTCATTGACTTTCATTGACACTCAGCCAATCACAGATCAACAACAAGCTGCATTGTCTCATAAGTAAAAGTTCAATTAAAAAATCTGCATCTAACTTTGGTTAAAGCTTTATATTTACAAACAGTATATTAGGACATACAGGCAACAAGCAGCTATCTTACGAAACTGCTAAGCTTTTTTTTAGTTTTTGTTATTTTTAACAGAAACATGCTACATTAAAGATAACACTAAGTGAAACCCTGTCCATTAGAAGCAAGCAGCTTCCAAAATCCAGTGTTTTAAATAGAGGTAATTCCAGTTATTTGTAACCACCAGTTAATTGCAGTAGTACCATGAGGCGGATAAAAACAGGTCTCTTTGCAGTAGTCTTGGTAGTAATCTATATACACAATGACAACATGGTCCAACATAAATATATTAGAATTGGTATTATTATCAGGTGCATATGAGAGGTAGGGTTTGTAGGAACCTATGATAGGCCCAGTGGGGTGACAGTAAAGCCACACCTGATACTGTGGGACGGTAACAAGTAGAAGAAGATCTAACTGAATACAAGCTTAGATTTCCTAGTGTAGTGTGCAATGTACAGTGTAGCCACATCAAAACTCCACCCACTAAGAGTCATACAGGCACACACTCTCAGCCCCAGGCCTGAATAAATGCTATGGGTCTTAGTCGTACATAAAAAAAGCCCCCTAAGTAAAAACAGACTAGAGTGATGTTAAACCACAAAGGCCTTGTGGGCATTTTGCAGTTGTTTAACTAATGCACCCTTTAACCTTTGACATAGGACTGGTTAGAGGGATATCAGTAGCTACACGTAAAGCCATCCTCTGCAGAGTAACTCAATAGCAGAAGTAACAGAACAGTCAACATTTTGGCCTTGTTACTTTGACCATTTTAAACACTTAGTTGCCACAAATTTGCACTATGACATTTAATTTTTTTCATCCAGTGTACATTACTCTTCAAGTCCCCAGCCTGGATTATTGGAGAGAGTTATGGAGGGGTTAGGTAACAGTGACAGTTACAACGGAAAAGTCAAAAGTTTGCTCCTTTCTGTCCCTTTGTTTCTAAAAATGGCAACTTCAATTCAGTGTTTAAAAAAGACTTGACAGTCCAAAAAAGCCAGTTATGGTGTCCTCAGCAGTTTGAACAGGGGCCCTGCTGCACTTCTCAGACATCTTGAGAGTGTTTTAGCTGCCATACAGGAACTGGTTTAGGATATTATTTAGTAGATGGGATGTTTCTCCATGAACACGTTACAACCACAGAGTCCAAAGAAATCACTGTGGCCAAGAGAGGTCTGTTTTGGGGCATTAGCCCTTCACTGGACTTGAAGGAGTAAGCCATTGTGCGCCTGGGGAATGCACTTCCCACAGAATCCACCACAGCGACCGTAGATTCTTGTCCCATCCTACAGACAGAGACACACGCAGAGAGAGAGTGGGCAAAGGGAAAGCTGTTACACCAAGAACATGGACTAGTAAATGTCAACAACCATTTGTCTTTGGTGAACTGATGTGGCTATCCCCAAAGATATTATTCTGGCATAATTAAATGTGTTTAAAACTATGTTTTTTATTTCATGAATCTGTTTATCTGATATTTATAGCTGTATTTTTATCCAACTTTTTAAAGGGCACATATTATGCATTGTACTGTTAATGGCCTTTAAACATGCTCTTGAGTACCTTTGTTTTGGCATTTCATGTTTAAGAAGTGAAACTACTGCCTATGCATAGAAAATGCCCATTAAGTTGTTACCTCATCTTGGTGTTAGGGCACCATAAACAGGATTAAAAGATCTATATGTGTCCTTCAAGATTGTCAACAAATGCAAGCCACTTTAGTATCAGACCCAACCTTTTGTATTAACAAAGAGTGTGTTAGCGTCTTACCTCAGATCGGTGAACCTTGACAGAAACATAGTTCCCCATTGATGTCCACTTTGTAGCCTCAGACACTTTGAGTCCAGTGCCAATCAGATTAATGCTGAACTGGCCCTGTCCACATGCATAAGGGTTATTCATAAATAGAAATGATAACTAAAAGTCTTTCAGCCATCTATAGTCTGCTGAATGGGTGAAGTGTATTTTAAAGGTACTCCATAGTATTAATCTATAACATACGTAGATCGTCATTTACATTATAACAATATAATTTGAATGGTATTTTGTCACCAACCTGTGGACATTTGGCTGCACTGTAACAATCCCCTGCAGTGGCAAAAGGCACAGGTCGACCAAGAGGAGTCTGGGAAAACTGCAGATCTGTGACTGGTAAACAAGAAGAGGATACAAATCCACTGTCAGTAAAGTGTGCTCCAGGAGAAGTAAATAAAGAGCACAGACAGCTGCTGTAGTGTAAACATGAGACAGAGCGCTCCGAGGGGGATCTGCAGACAGTTAGTCAGACAAAATGGAAGGATGACCTACATATTATTGGGAAAATGTTTTACTAAAAGGCACACTATGTAACTTTTCAGACTGAAAAAGCCCGACACCTTCTTGTCTCTACACAGATGCCATGGCTTAGTTTGAAATGTTCCGCAGTATGGCATTAAACTTAACAATCTCTGTTGACACTTTTTTACTGCACATTCTACAGTATTAGCTGTAATCTTAAACCAGAAGCTACAATAGCTTGCCCTGAGTCTTTATTTCTTCCAGCTTTTGTCATTCAAAAGAGCTTTAAAGGTGCGCTGTGTAGCTCGTCTGTCTGGTAGAGGGTGCGTCCACTGCTTCTCTCCATGGAAATGTTGCCTGAAATGTTCCACAGTATGGCATTATACTTACTAACTAATCAGGCCAGGCCTTGCTTAGCTTCTGAGATCTGACAGGATCAGGCTTTGACAAGCTGGTATGGCCACAAAGTAAATAAAAATCCATGTTATTGAGTAAATGCAAGACGGATATGTTTAATGCTGGGACATTCCAGACTAAGCAACAACATCTCCATGGAGACAAGCAGATGGCGGACCCTCCACCAGAAAAGTTACACAGTCCACCTTCAAATACACGTAACCATTGATGTGCTTACAGATACATTTCCCCTTTTGGCCACTAGAAGGTGTGATGATTTACAGAAGTAGTCACTGTCATCAAAATGTTGTTTGTGTAATAATAGATAAACTTAGAGTGAACAGTCATGTTCTGGGTTTACACCTTCAGGAATAACAATGACAAAATGACTTTATGACCTTTATTTTATTTTTCTTGTAAAATATAAATTTAAAACCACAAATTTATTATCTGAATCCAGAGATGCACATAGACTTATTCAGCTCATCTTGAACTTATTTTCTCTACTTTAGCTCTCTTATAGTTGCCTGAAAGCCAAATGAGAACCATGCAGAGGGTGGGAACAGGGACCAGAGAGGATGAGTGTGTATGGGCTAATCCTGACTTCCCCTTTATCCGAACACACACAATCCACACAGCTTAATCAAAGGCAGATTGGACACACAGGAAGGTGGAGCATGTGGTAATGAGTGCAGTCTGAAGGAGTCTATGTACATTTGAATCAACATAACACATCTCTTGTCCTATGGTCGGCATAATTTTTATGTAGTGGACTTTCTTTTTTATTCTCAAACTCACATACTGGACCAAAAAAGTCTTTGATAGTTTCACAGATTTAATCATAATGTATAAAGTTGCTTTTAGTAGAGTAATTTGACAGCAACAATATAGGCAAGACTGTCTTAACTGTGTGGATGTTATTGTTTTTTTCCTGGAATATTCTATAGTATGGCATTTAATTGAACTATTTCCATGGAGACAAGCAGGCCACATCACTAGGCCAAGTTACAGGTCAAATCTGTGGAGAAGTGGGTCTGCTCACAGTCAGAAAGCATGTCTTTGCAGTAGTTTTTAGAAATAAAAACACCTGTAAATGAATAAATACCAGATATATTTGTTTAAAGCCATACTGTGGAATTTCCCAGGCAAAGCAATGATTTCACCATGAGACCAGCAGAAGGAGGACCGTCCACCAAAAAGTTATACACTGTACCTTTAAATGTGTTATAAATAAAGTTGGAGTGGATTAGTATGCAAGTTTAACCCTGTTTGCTACTGACTACTATTTGAGTTGTATTACTTGGCGGCAAAAATAAACAATAAAAAATACAGCAACATTTTTACTTCTCCGCCCACTACAGTATGATGAAAGCCCATAACTTGTAATTGCAAGTGAAGAAAGATAAGAAATAATAGACTGTTTGGAATAGCTTTATGCACATAAGGCCCAGGCGTCTGAAAGCTAAAACAATAGTTCTGTGTGGTCTTTGTACAGTAGACATTGTAATGCAATCACAGAGTAATGACTCACTTATTATCCGCAGGGAGCTCAGATCCAGGCGCACTTTGTTGAACAGTGTGTAGCCTGCTGCTGAGTAGTCATTTCTGCATTCACAGTCCTGTCTGCGGCTACCATTGTACGGACACTCAAACGGGTTTAGCAATCTGGATTTGAATGGAAATAAGCATGAGATAAATGTTTAGATAAATTAAATATTTCCCAAAGTCTAACACAATTTAGTATTTTCTTTTCTCAAGTAAATGTGTTTATATTAAATGTGTTTATAAACCTGAATTAACAGATACCAAAGCAGTTCTATAGGGCTGAAACAATTCTTTGGAGTAACCGTGACTAATCAACTTTTAAAATAGTAATAGTAATAGTTGACTATTTTAATATTACATCATAATGTCTGGATTTTACAGACCCAGATGCTGGAGCCAAAAGGTGCTTGAGAACAAAGGCAATAACTACGTTACATCAGAATGGCATAAAATAGTTAAAAGAAATTTGATTTTCATCAAAAATTTAGTTTGTAAATATCCTAAATCTATATACACAATAGTACATAATGTTGTACCATTATCAAGTTAAAAATATATTTTTAGAATTCTCAGTTTAGACAGTTTATTTATCTCAGTTATAAATAAACTGTCTCTGTCTAGAAGACTAAAATACTTAGAACATACATGACATACACTAATATTAAAACTACAGTTTACCTAACTGTCTCATGCTAATTCTTAAATATCAGTGTGGTCAACAACTCTAAATGACAAGTTAGACAATGTCCAACAACAATGCCCTTAAGATGCTTGAAAGCGAACAGAAACTCAAAATAGTCTGGACATATAAGTAGACATGTCATATGAAGACAAGGAACAGACACAGGCCTCTCAATTCCTTAAAATTTACCACAGTACTTTATGGCAGAGATATATTAAGTAATCCCATTTATGCCCAGAGTCATGCTCCAGTGAACATTTATCACCTGTGGATCGCACACACCTGTGTCCGTACACCTCAGAGTAGTTATCTGTTTGACCGCTGCGCAGGGTCACGTACTCCTTGGGGAAGTCAGTCTGCATCTCAGCACAGTAAATCTGCACAAAAACATAAGAGACCTGATTGAGAAGCTGTTGGGAGCTGTGGTTGGAGTTATAATGTATGCAGGACATAGACACACCTGTAGGATCCGGGCTTTGACTCTGAGGTAGTATTCACCATCCATCCTCGCACCCTGACGCATCTGGACCTCTCTGCATGAACTGAACAGCTGGCCTGGGACAACATGTGAATTTATTTATTTCAACTTCAATTCTACACATTTTAACAATTCAGTTACTTAATAGATAACCTTACTGGACATTACAGATAAAACTACAGATAAAATCGTTGCCATCAATAAAAGGTATTGTGCTTTGATGAAAATAAAGTTATCCACAATCGGGGGCAGTGCTTTCATTTGAATAATTGTAACATATTTGTCAAAAAGCTGCTTGAATTATATTTGTTTAGTGTGTATTTAAAGGTGCACTATGCAACGTTTTTGGTCTGCCACCAACTTTGCCTATATGGAAATGTAACTGCTTTGTATAGAATGTTCCAGAGTATAGCATTAAATGTCCTATATTACACAAAATAGATTCTTGTGAGATTTAAGCCATGTTATAATGCTGTTACCTTAAAAACATACCCAGAGTTGTGTTTTGTTTCATTCACACATTTTACCTTGTGATATCATGAAGTGATAGTTTTCAAGTTAACAGCTACCTAAGAAATGGACAACTCCAAGGTTGAAATCATCCAAATCATTCTAGTGGAGCACTTCTAGTATTACCACATGACATTACAACGTGGAACAGAGAATTTTCTGTTAAAGAGAATAACTCAGCCTAAATATGCAGGGTTTATGCATTAAACATGTGAATGAAACAAAACATAACTCCAGGTATATTACTGATGAGGAAACATCATCATAACGAATCAGTAAATAGCGTAATATGGGCCCTTTAAACTTAGCAGTCTCCATTGAAGTAGAGGTGGAGAGGTGGGCATGCACCCAGCTAAAATGTTGTTCCTTTTCAAGATTTTTATTTTTTTTTCAGAATTTGGTTATCATGATGAAATGAAAAAAGGAGTAGAAACTAGGACTTTTTTCTCTAATGGTAGCTTGTGTAATTACGTGATTAGCTTCTCACTTAAATTGCGACAGAAGGCTGTTTAACTGATCACAAACATAGACTGTCACCGGGTCATATCATTTTAATGCTCTCGTGCCTGACTTGGCAGAAACCAGGTCTGAAACTAGCCACCAAGTGTGTCAGCTCTTAGACATGAGCTATGGAGCCAATGTGCAAAGTTTGGCTAGCTGACAACTTTTTTCTTGATCAAAACCCTACGGTATTACAACATACTATCGATGACAGTATTTATTATTCCAGTGAAATTTCTTCAAGAAGTTTAAACTTAAAGTTCTGCCTAATGTGTTAAAACAAAGCAAAAAGCTGGGTTAGCATAAACACAATCAGATAAGTTCTTGGCTGCCACACACAGCACAGTCAATTTAATACCATTACTCTATACAAATTCCTTCTTGGCAGTATGGGTGTTAGAATGAGGAGAGAGAGGGAGACCTGGACCTACATTCTTGCTCTTTACATGCAGCCTGGGAGTCTGGTTTGTCTGCTGGACTGCACTGCTTGGACGGATGACCTTTGGAAGTTTGACACTCCACTCTGCGCTCCATCACTCCAGCCCCACAAGTCTGAGAGCACTGAGAACAATATACAGTTTAGATTTGGACAGTTATTAAAATCATGTCTATTATAGGCCTGTTATGATAATTATTTCATCAACTTCAATACATGATAGATAAAACAATATATTTTGGGGCTCAATATTTATAGTGTGTAGTTTTCCTTTCAGTAGTTAGGAGACTTTAGTTATTTTTGTTGTAATACGATAAGATTTGAGTTGAATTGAACTGAGTTGGGATTATCCTGCTTTAGAGTAATTAAGTCAGTGGCACAAAGTAGTTTCAGTGTTATCATTTATCGTGATAGTTCTCTTTATCAGTATATCGTGCTTCAAATTTTGTTATTGTGACAAGGCTAGTCTATTAAATGAGCTTTCTTTCAATTTAAACTATACAAGAAATATGTAAAACTGATTTTTTTTTTAAATAGAACAAAGAAAAAAGACATGAAGCACAGGGAGAGTTAAAGAATCAAATACAGGACCATACAAGATTCCTCTAACATGCGTGACTCAATGAAAAAACAACTCTGAGTAAGTCTACTTACAATTATTATAAAATAATTCACTTTGAAGAACTCAAAAATATAACCAATAGTAAAACTGATAAAAAGAAATATTATGATTTATTGGGTTAAAAATCTATTTGAATTTGATGAATTTATTTTGTCACCTTGCTCCAAGGGCCAATTTTCCAGTAGGCTGTGTGTGGACAGTCCCTGAGGAGACATGAGTGGGTGCTAGGGGGGCGGGGCTCGGAGCAGAGGGTGCCACTGCTGTCGGACAAACGGGACGGATATGAGAGATGGGACGGGGAGGTGGGCACCACAGAGCAGGACACAAAACGCTGCTGATAGCCCTCACCACAACTAGTAGAGCACTGCACAAAAATAAGCAAACAAGGCATGGCAAGTTTATTTGTATTGCACAATTCATACACAAAGTAACTCAAAGGGCTTTACAGAATATGGAAGACATTAAAATCACAACACAAACTTATCAAAACATAAATAATCATAAAATTAACATTAAATGAGAAGAGCACAGAATAAAAACCTTTCAGGCATATACACAGCTAAATAAAACTGTTTTGAGCCTGTTGCCTGGCCATTTTCAAGTACTTTTGAAAATGGCCAGGCAACAGTTCTGAAACCTGTATGTATGATTCAGAGTAAATTTTTTTCAAAGAATCGCAAGGGAGCACATAACTGTGTAGGGGGTAGATGAAAATTAAAATGTTTTGAGCACTCCGTGATTGCATGAATCATGTAACTTTTCTGATACACCATCTGCTTGTCTCCATGTTATTGCTTTGAATAGAATATTCTAAAGTATTAAACATATCTATATCCATGGTGTGAAGCAGGTCATACCAACAGGGTAACCAAAATCTAGGGAGAGACAACCCACAGTAAGAATGCATGTTTTATTTGTAAAAATGAAAGATCCATGAGTTAAATGCTTAGCTGGGTGGTGGACCTTCAGCTAGAAAGGTTGCATAGTGCACTTTTAAAGCTATTCATTTTTATTTTTTTTTATCTCCACTCCTGTTGGCTGGATGTAAAAGTTCAATTTGGATATAATTTCATTCAATATACAGTATTACAGTAGCTCTTACCTGTGACCACTCGCCAGTAGACCACACATATTTGCAAGGTGTTCTTGTGCATAGCTCTTGTGTTTCTGGCTGTGATGCTCGTTCACAGTAATCATCACTGACTTCTGCGCTCCCTGGACCCATGCAGCGCACTTTCCTGCTCCTGACCCCATCGCCACAGGTGGCATTGCACTATAAAATAAAATATAAATTGCATTAGTTGACTCAAGAAGACTACATACTTAAAACTTGAAATATTATGCCCTGATGCCAGATGTCCTCATGATGTCTTTTCCTGTTTTGTTGGATGTTGTGGATTCTACTACATAAAAATGACCACAATAGATTTCACACAACTGACACATGTGGCTTACTTGCATTGGGTAAGTTAATAAGATTTATCTTGGGCCTTGTAAAAGTTTATTGCTGCAATTTACAACAATGGTAACCCTAGGATTAGTTCATATGATTCTGTTCACTTACATGTGCACTTTTATAGGAACGGAAGAGATTAAAGAGTGGTGAGGGAAAGAGAAAAAAAAGTGTCTAGATCTCAAGGCAACAAGGAGAGGAATCTGAGACTGCAAACATCACTGGTGGAAGAAGAAATGCTGTTTTGTTCCTACACTGTACCCCTCTCTTTTGATAGCAAAGAAGTGGGCATATCAAAATGTGTATAATGAAAAGTGGTACTGTGGAAGTCACTGATGCTTTAAACTTTAATTTGATTTAAAGAGCTGATGCTTATCTCATAGCTAAGACCAGTTTACCTGCATGTTATCACTTTAATGGTATACACCGAGAAGACTGGAGGAGATCTCAGCCAATAAAAGACTTAATAGGATGCTGGAACATCTGCAACTCTGTATCTTGCTGGGAAATGGGAGCTGAGGATAAAGAGGGAGGAGGGCAGATGGAAAAAGAAAGTCTTACTTGTTCCCATTCGGCAGCGACCCAAATATAAGGAGTGCATTCTGGGGCCTGGCATGGCTGAACGGCTGCAGGGCGAGAGTGGGCATCGCACAGGTCCGCAGTGACATGCCCTGTGCCTTTGAGCCTGCAGTAAACACTTCTCCTCTGGGTCCCCACGCCACACGTCACAGAGCACTGGGAGAAATATGGTCACTTACTTGCAAGAAATATATAAACGTATATGATGAAAACATGAAAACATGTAGGGTTAAACGAATGCTATCTGGCTTCATTATTATAAAGTCTTATCCCCCATATATACAAATCACATCACTGTTCTAAAGCTGTGTACAGGACACAGCCCCAAAAAATCCATGCAATGCTAGTATGTACCAAAGGTGAGAGCTAGGAACTAAACACATAATTTATGTGTATTCTCAACAGACAAGTAATGTCTCATGTGAAAGCACAGAACCTCCAGAACTTCCTGAACTACAGAGGCTGCACTAGCACTTATTCAGGATTGGCTGCAGGTGCTGAGGTTTAGGTAGTGACCACTCAGATTAGAGCATCTTTTTCGGTGTAAACTGCCTGGATTTCACCACTGAAACTGGCAACCCACATGAAAAACTGATGTGAGGCTAATTCTGCTGTCTAACCAAACCAAAACACCAAATTTGCAGATATGTCCAGTGTTAAATGAATCAGCATCACAAGTGTTATCAGTAAAAGCTAGTCGATTTGAACATGTTTACCTTGTATCTGGTATCAAAGACAAGAATTAAAAATACAATATTTAATAGAACTACTGTCCCTTTGAAATGCTTATTTCTGGAGCCTTCAACTATGGATACACAGAGTACTTATTTTTAGAGCTTGAATATATATCCAAACATAAAATACAGTGCAGTCTGTTTTTTTTATGATGTGTGCTCCTTCAATGTGAGCCAGGATTCTTGGAGCCAGCAACCACTTCAGCCAGCGTTCTGTTTCTTCCTCTCTCCAGTGCAGTTAAAGGTAGCAGATGTACTGTGTTTGTTTGGTCTGCAGTGCCAGAGATAATGAAGCTTTGAACAACATGCACAGTAAATCAAAAGGCCGTTTGTCGCGTCCCTCTTATGCAGTGTACGGTCGGGTCACGCAGGGGTCTATCTGAAGCATCTCTTTGAAGTTTCTCTGAGAGGCATACCTGCATACTGAGGAAGCACTCCACTCGTCTACAAAGGGCTGTGCCAGGCCTCAGCAATTTCACACAGTCAGAAAATACAGCGCCTATCCAATATCCCCTCCTAATATCCAGATGGACCTGAGGTGAGATTTCTTACTGCAATCATATCTTTGAGAGGTATGAGAGTGGAGGGGTGAAAGGTCAAGTGTTTTAGTTTGGAAAGAGAACAAAAAGGCACCACAGGCAATTTGACCCCCCTAAACCAAAAAAAGTATGCTTTGTAAGTGGCGAATATATAAAATCACTGTAAAACTTTCAATAGTAGTGCTATGCAGGAATGTGCAGGAATGAAAAGACGTGAATAACATAAAGAAAATAAAGAACAAGTAAACTATAAGGCTTGTTTTATGCATTAACTTCATTTGAAAACAGAAATCATCAGATTCTGAAAAAAAACACAAAAAAAACAAGTGTCCGGTGACAAAGGATATATATTAGTATCAAAATGTTAAGTTTTCACTGACTAACGGTTTCAAATGGCTTTAGAGAGTGTGTCTGAATTATTGTCAGTGGTCCATTTTGACAATACCGAGCTGCCCCAACTAGTGCCATAGTTGCTCTTATCATCCACATGATAAAAGCCTTGTATTGGCTATAAGTGTGCACCCTGCAGTCAGGTGACTTGGAGGGCCCGGCTATCATCACAGTGTGTGCTGAAGTTTGGGAGCTGTCACATGCACGGGTATTAAGATATAAAACATGACTTTATGCTCTAGTTGAAGATTTCATGGTTGCTGGTGGTATGGAGGGAAAGATGATTGCTTCCAGACTCAAAGAGAGGAGGGAGGAAGACACCCTCACAGAAGGGAGCAGCAGGGGTCTGGGGATGGGGGTAGCAGTGGTCTGGTCTCTATGGACCTTTGGGAAGGACTTTTATGATGGAGGTTATTTTAACAAATGGTGAATCAAGAAATGTAGCAGAAAAAAACTATATTTTGGTTGTTTTGGTTGGATTTTAGAAATAGTAATAATGAAAACTAATAAATAACTAATAATAAATAATGAAAAATTGTTTCGAAGAACGAAACTAAAATGTATCTTAGGCAAACATTTTGACTCTCTTTTCATTCAATGGAAAATGTCCTCATAACTTAACAGTGTTAACCAGTGTTTTTCTGTCTTGTTGTTTTTATCAATTTTATGAAAAACAAATGTTTAAGTTTGTTTTTCCATTCCTACTAACTCTGTATTTTCTTAATATTGTCACACGTGTTTTAAATCTTCACCCAACTGTCAAACTTCTACATAAACACTTTCCTAAATCGAGCCTGTGGTGTTTCGCTCACAGTGGAGGAAATGACATATCGCTAAAATAAACCGCAACATGATTGGACAGGTGCTCTTGTGTGTACATGTCCTACATCTGCATCCTCTGGGACATCCCGTTTGCAATGTTTGTGCCTGTGTTTGGGCAGCTCTAGTTCTGGTTACTGTTCTCAAAATGTACATACCTCTGTCCACTTGTTGGCCTTCCATATGGGGCATCTCCGTACCCGACAGGACTTCTGTGTGCGGGGCCGTTGAAGGTGCGTGCACTGGTCATCCTCCATCTTGGTTTGGTTTTGATAGACACAGGCCACTTCCCGTTGCTTGGTGCCACGTCCACAACTCACTGAACACTGAAAAGTAAAACAAAGTTATGTAATAAGATGTAAAACTTAAAGCTCAAATAAGATTTGAATGTACATGTTTTGAATGTCAAGTGTGGAGACTGTATGATGTGCTTTTTTACATAAAAAAAAAAAAATGTTTAAATTAAGTACCTCTAAATTTATAAATGCCCAGAAGTTCAGAGAGGTATTTGCAAACCAGCACTTCCTGATTATTGGACAATAATTAGATGCAGACATATTTTGACTTCAAAAGCTGCTTATACAATATATGTGGACTGGGGTAAAAAAAATCTGGTTAACTGTCTTTAATTTTGGTTTAAATCTGTGCTGCACATTGACACACCAATAAAATCTGCATTGGCAGCCTTGATTGCAACGTTCACTTCAGCATATTTTTCTATCATCTAAGAAGTTAGGCTGCTCTAGACAGAAATTTGTCTGTCAGGAAACACAAAAATATTACCCACAACCTCCTTTGGCAATTGTGTTCCCACTGCATTTTGTAAAAAAAAAATTCACATACAGTACATTTCACCCAAATGTTTTTCCAATGCAGAAATCTAATCTTTTAATCTGCAAACTTGCAATAACATTGTGTGCACTGTTGTCTTAGTCACTGATTATGGACAAAAAATGAAGCTTGACAAATGTATTTCATAGAACCAAGAATGGAAGATGAAAATCCTTATAAATGCGATACAACATTCATATGAAAACCTTCAAAATGGCTGGAGATTAAAATATTCCAAACATTTCCATGTCAGATAGTAAGTAGGGCGCATGCTATTTCTGTGACTGGGAACCCCAATACAGAATGAGTGCTGAATACAGTACACAAGACGAATTTTGGCATATTTTCCAGTCCAAATAATAAACATAATATTTCATTGTTCATTAATTAGGATAGCTGTGTGTTGTGTAACAGTGACACATTATGTTTGTTGCTAGTACGTGCTAACAGCTGAGGTCATATAATAATGTTTGGATTATAAAACCTGTTGTCTGTACAGCCAATACTGTGAACTATTTATCAGATGTGGAAGAAGTATATGCCTCTGGGTATCACTGTGTATATATATATATATATATATATAATATATATATATATATATATATATATATATATATATATATATATATATATATATATATATATATATATATAAATTACATATATGTAATGCCATTTAGTATTATTACTCATTAGCAATGTTCAAAATTACACTATTAAAGGAATATTTGTGAGTAACAATTATTTCAGAAAAGTAAATAGGACCAAATTATATTTATGATGTGGGGTTCATTCGTGGGGTTTGTATCTAGGACTACTAACATGGTCTTAACTGCTACTACTACTGCTACTGGGATTTTTGCATTCTTTTTACATAGCAAGAATTAGTTTTAGATCATTTTAAAACTATGCAAGAAATGTCAAATTTGGTCCTGTTTATTGGATATTTTAGTATCAATAATTGTTCAAATTAATGTCTACTATCGATGCTAGTTTCAGTACAGATTACCGTCTAATTTTGAATACTTTTGACAATCCTAACTGCGATATCTTCACAGCACATTGTATAGTCAAATATATTCTGTAATCCATTGACAACACTGGACTGTGTATGTTTCAACTTGGGACAAAAAAAACAATCTCTTTTTGTTTTCTTTCCTGCTGGAGTTATCTTTGCAGAATCCATTAAAGGCACTTCCAGAGCCTGTTAAATGTTGTTCGAGCACAAGTTGACACAGCACACACACGCTCCATGCTCTTTGTAATTACCCAGGTATTTTAAACATAGGGCCCGCTCAGCTGACGACAAACATCAAAGCATCCCCTGAGTGCAGGCAGATTCACATACCCGCAGCTCACAGCCAAAGAAATGATAACTAAAGCATTGGACCAGCACAGACACACACTTGTACAGAGAGAGGGGGGTTAGAGGGGCTGGCCCCTCCTCTCTGCTGTAAAAGTAGAAGAGAGAAGGGAGAAAAAAAACAGACAGGAAAAAAGGAAATCGCAGCCATACGTGCCTCGCACCGGAGCTGAACTATATCTATGAGAAAAAGGCTATACATTGAAGTGCTCCTCCTACAAGCCTGGTGAAGATCATCTGTCAGCTATTAGTTAATCAAGACTGGGCAGGAGAGCGGAGGACTGGCAACGCGTGGGACAGGGTGCACGGGACAGGTCTGGCTTTGAGCAAGACGAGAGGGCACAAGCGCAGGATCCTAGCTGCTTCGTCACAGCCCAAAGCACTTTAATCAACACCAAGCACTCAGGTAAGACTTCTCACTTACTTCTGACAGCTAAGATGCATTTCTGTACAGCTAATTTAGTTTTGTACTACTTATACATACATTATTGTCTTAACTTTAAATGTTTACTGAAAAACATTAAACAAGATTGATGTATTTATTCATAAAACTCAAAATTTTAAAGTCTAAAGCAATTTGGTTGCATTGTTTGTATCATAATCAAACAGAATCACAAGGATGTGTATTTCTGTGTCATTCATAAACCCAGATAAATAGACAAGTGAACTGCATCAGGAAGGCTATCCAGAGTTATAAATAAATAAGATTAATTTGGTAAACGAGAACGAGGGAGATGCTATGTTAATTTGCTGTGACAACCTCAAGTTTGTTTTTGAAAAGGAAGTATCTGATAGATCAGAAAAGCTTAAAATATTTACACTATAATTCCTTGTATTAAATTACTTTGTAATTGAGATACATTTGACCTCCCATGTAGGCCTCGCAATTAATTTCACATGATTAGGAGGCTTAAAGGTCTTAAAATCCTAGATATTCCATGGATTACCATGAAATGGCATGACATAAATTCTTTCCGCTTGGCACAAAGTTGAACTACAGCCAAACATTTTGCCAATCATTTTCCATAAAGAAGGCATGTGGGATGTAATAATTGGATAAACTAACTCAGTACTACATGGTCCCAGAGAGATTTTATGAATGAAAGGTTGATACATGTAAGGACATAATCCCTCTGATATCATATACTCTTTTGAGATTCATATCTTTCGGCAGGACTGACAGGCGGCAACCTCAGCATGACCCCTCCCTCCACTAACAGGTAAGCTAACACCACACATGGAAAGCGTTAGGCATTCAAGACCTGAGTTTGAGTATCTGCCTTTCAACCAACATTGCAATCAGAGCAAGTGGTTATTATAATGTACCTTCACATAGGCAGCAGTCTCCAAAACAGGTTTACATGGAATTCATTGAGAGCTGCATGAAAACAATTAAGCGCTATAATTGTGCTTGTAAAATGTTTGGCTGGACATAAAAGCCGGGGTTACCCTTAAAACCAGACTTAATGGTGAAGCTATAAAAACAAAGCAAAACTAAAATAACATTACATTAACAAGGTGGTTGTTTTCATTAGTGGAGGACGAACTGCATTTGGCCCACGACCAAGGGCGTAGCAGAAGGCAGCGGAGACTGGGGAACTGGCCCCCCCTATTTGTCGTATTATCATATTAGTTTCAGCTAAGTTTTTGATGATATCCTCAACTTCCCTTGGTCCCCTCACTAAGTGACTCTCCATTCAGAATGCTATCACAACACAATCAGCATTCATTCCGCTAATGAAACTACCACACATTGCATCAAGTTGTTCTGGATCCTGCTCTTGTATATTTATGACAAACAGCCGTGCAGGAGCTTGTGCAGACTTGTGGGCTGAGCCTTGTACAAGAAGCATGGGCTTGTACTGCTAACCATAAGGATTTGACTAGTGCCATGATTATTCACATTATAGCTGTAAAAAGCTGGGAGATGTGATCCCACTCAAGATATAAATACAATTTACTGCTTGATAAAGATTCATCCAGAACTACGTTTGATTAATTGCTTATAATTGTTTTAAGGATAATAACTGTCATTGAATATTATGGTTAATTCAGTAGAAATGCATATGCCAGTGAGAGGCTCTTTCTTAATCAATAGTGTCCACTGTTGTGCTGTTAGTGCCTACAACCAAAACACAACAGGTCATTGAACTACACCTAATGTAAAGGATTAGTCTGTACTAGGGTTAAATTCCAGCGATGGCAAAGCAAGTGCAGGGTAATACGAGGCATATGGTGACTCTTCAAAGGCACAGAGCACTGACCTGGAGCAAGAAGAAGTTCACAAACTTCTACACAGAGCCTACACAGACAGGAGGCTAGGAATAAAACATGTGCTTTTCTGTATTTTGTCAGAGGCTGAATTGTCACTCCCTCATTGGTTGGTGCTGGAACAGAGGTAAGCAGCACGTTTATCAGGATCACAGTGTTCTAATATTTCCTCAAACAGGACATGAGTCAGTGTGGCAGAGACTGAACATCCAGGTTTTCAGAAGCACAAGTCAAAACACCATGAGCGGGTAAGAACAACATCAAGGGGCAAAAGTTTGATGGTCTAGAAAAGTCATTACTTGCATATTCACCTTGTTAAAATTGAATGGAGCTGTACCCTATATTATTTGTATTAGAATGTACTGTTATTCCTGCCCCTTTAGTCCTTTCTCTCACTCAAATGCTGAACCATGACAGAGAAACAGAATTCGGGGATAGTCCATGCTTTATACAACTGTCAATTTTAGCTAATTATGTCCTCTCTTCCACAAACAGGAGCTTTTACAACATTGTAGTGTAATATTGTATACTTTATTTAATACACTGGTTTTACACTTGATGCCCTTGCTGACAACCCATTTCTCTGTTTAAGCAGGCTTAGGACTGGCCCAAAGATTTCAAAGGCTTGTAGTCCCATGTGAGTGGTTTGCATGTTCATAATCTATAAAACCTGAATCTGATTAAGAGATAAACATCTTGAAGTAGTCTAACCAGATTAAAACCATTACCTCTGACATATACAAGGTCACAATTGAAACCAGCACACTGCATTTTAATGTGATCCAATGTTGTTACTTTTCAGGGAGAAGAGTTCCCCCTCTAGAAATATAGTTTATAACAGACCTCACAAAACCTGTAGCATGCTTGAATAATTTGTAAAAAAAAAACAGATCATGCTAAGATGCCAACGTTTGACTTTGCCATTACCACAGAGTTAAATAAACACACTGTTGAGTAGACATATACAATTTCTTTAGCTGTGTTTCTCTTTTAAGTCAGCACCACTTTGAAAGGATACACCAAGTAACCATACGTCAACGAATGACAAAACAGCTCCAAAATATGTGCACCAAACTCCAAGCATGGCTCATAGCAACTTATACAATAAAAAAAGTTAACAACAGCGAAAGTTAAGGAGGTTTTTTACAACTTAAATGTACAAAAAAAAAAACAACGGCCAAATCAGTTTGATGCTCAATGCTACACAGCTGTGGTTGAAATTAGACATCACTGGGGAGTATGGGAAAGCTCAGAAGAATACAAGATCTTGACCCTGCGCTTGCCTCAAAGGAAAACTAAACATTAAATAGAGACATAAAAGTGTGCTGACATTTGGCCAAAAGAGAAAATGGTGTGTGTTCAGAATCCCAAAGGAAAATGTCAAAACTTTAGGACTGTAGGGCTCCACAGACCAGTAGTGGGACAAGGAAAACAATAGTAATTCAATAGCCAATTTATGGTGGATGCATAGGCCACAAATTTTTTCACCAAGTTCTACAATGTTTGAAATTTGCTTTTTTCACATTTATCCACTAGTACTGACTTAGGATCAGGGCTGCAATCAAGGGATTCCTGTATTAGTTTATCAGTTCATATTTCAGTTAATGTTACTGCTCCTGGAGTTGGAATCCTATTTTTTAAACAAAATCCAAATCTAATAGCAACTGTAAATCTTGTCAGAAAAAATATTGTCCCTGATTTGAAATAAGGCCAGTAAATAAAAAAGATGCTACTAGGCCTATCACGATAATCACTATATCGACTTATCGTTCAATGCATGAAAGCTAGAACAAAATATTTGGGGTTCAATATTTATTGCATGCATATTTTTGGGGTTTCTAACAATTTGTAAAATTTGAGCTTTCTGCTATTTATTAGCTGTAGCTCATGCTTTCTAATGATATTGTATAAAAAATGTTTATTGTAATTGTCCTGCATTATTTTTTAATATGTCAGTGGCAAAAAGTAGTTTTAATATTATCATTTATCATGATATTGTTCTGTAGTAATATATCTTCAAAATTTGTCATCGTGACAGCCATAGGTGCTACTATAGCTACAATAAATACAGAAAAAATTGGTACAAAGAGATTTTCAGATAATCAAACTGGAAGCAACAGGTAAATGCACCAGAATGTTAGCCCTCTCCAGGCAGGCGTTGCAGATTTGCAACAGCTAAATTCCAATTACCTACTTACTCCACATCCATATTATATGAGCTTTTTCTACTCAGGAGCCTTTTCTCCCATCCATGCTGATAAACGTGGGTGATGCAGACTGTGCAAGAATGGCCGCACGCAAACGGCCTGCCAGAAGTGCAAAATACTTTTTTTTTTTTTTACAAAGGATAAAAAAGTCAGAATTGTATATTACTACCCCATATTATAATTTTCCCCAAATATCAGATTTTTCCTGATACTAAAAATTAATTTGAGCCTGAGAGGGTTAAAGGCTTAAGTGATTTTTCCAACATTTATCACTGTCACTCATAATAACAAAAACTCTTTTCCTCAGGCTCTCCGGCTCCATTTCACTCCATCACTTCGATAACAATGACAAGTCCAAATAGCAGTGGGCCCCAGTGAGTCTGTGTAGGTCACATTATGAATCTCCATTTAAGCCTAAGACGCGACTCCACAGGCACTCAGTAAAACTGCACTGACAGAGCTGAGGCAAAGCAGACGCCAGCGCCAATGTCAGAGAATACAGCTGTGTTCAGTATCAGCGCATGGACCTGGGCTAGACCAAGCTAAACGTTTCCAGGCTTTCACGCCCTGTCTTCTCTCATTTAGTCCTGCAGCATCTCTTTGCAGCCCCATCTCCAGCTAAACAACAATCAGGATATAGCAGGCTGTTTAAAAGGGCCCATATTACTTTGTATTCTGATCTATGTTATAATGTTGTTTCTTCATCGCAAGCATACCTAGAGTTGTGTTTTGTTTCATTTAACACACAAACCCTGTATCTTTAGGCAGAGTTGTTCTCCCTCACTGAAAACACTCTGATTCCTGAAGTTCTCCACTATGTTTTTAAACTCCATCCACTTTCACTAGAATCATTTGGATAATTTCAGCTCTGGAATTGCAAATCTCTACCAAGATAAAGGTTAAAGGGAGCTGCTAACTTGAAAACTATTGCTTCATTACATCACAAAGTGAAACAGAGCATTTTGAGCTTTGAAGATGTAGACAGACTAATAATAAAGAAACATGGCTGAACATAACTCCAGGTATGTTTTGAAGGAGGTAAAAACATTATAACATGGCTTTAAGCTCAAAAGAGTCAGCATAATACAGGACCTTTAACTTATCCCAGTTAAACGTTATGAGTTTAAGATAGTTGGGGTTATGAAGGTACACATAATTGACAACACTGTGGAAAAGAGCAAGAAAGGTTAAAAAAAAAGAAAAGAAAGATAAGATAGATAAAAAGAAAGATAAATTTCATTTGCTAGTTTAATATTTATTTATTTATTTCTGTTATAGTCATGGAGAATTATAACCATTTCCAATTACAACTCTGTTTTAAAAGGCCGGCAATGTTCCCTGGGTAAAAAGTGCCCTTTATCCTCCCAGTGCCATTCCCTAGGCACTATGTAACACTTCTGGTGGAGGGTCCGTCACCAGCTTGTCATATTTGGTTGGAATCTTCCATAGTATAGTATTAAATAAATTAAATATTTAGCATTTATCAAATTCCAGGTTGCATTGCTCAAAATACCACATGAATAGGGCACCTTTAAGACTGAGGATTGATTTTCATTTGGAATTGAAAGCTCTTGACATTTCTGGTCCAATATTAATACACCCATTGTTGCCTGGCAGGGGTGGCAGGGTTTCAATAATCACATCACATCTTACAACATGTGCTTGTCTTCTCCCTGATCGTTAATTGTTTGCCTTAAGCTGGACTTTTTACCCAGCAAATCATCAACTTTGCTTTCTATTAAAGGCTCAAATGAAACACTATCTTCAGCCTCAGATTTAAACCAAAGTCATGGCCAGATTCATGTTTGGGGGAACCACAGTGACATATGGGCAGCATCAAGAAACACATGTGCCAGGCCAAACCACCGCAAGTGACCCCGGGGTGACAGGGCTGCCCCAGGCCCAAGTCAAGTATGTCAAAGTGGGGCATGTGGGTTTCATTTAGAGCCTGATTGGTCCACAGACGCATTACTGCACCCCCCATCCTGTCACCCCCTACCCGCCGCATGGGAAACCCACTCCCAACAGGAAATGGTATGTTTTACTTAGCTACAAACAAGCATAAATTCTTATAATGGAGCCCTAATTTATCACACACAGTCCTGTTGTTGATATTTAAAATGTGTTTTTGAGGAAGTTACCATTAGTTAATGATATTTGTATTCCTAATGATATGTTTTGTTATCATGTCTGTGCTCTTTATGGTGTAGTATATGTCAAATAAATGTGGGCTTTGTCTTGTGTCATTTCTTTTCAATGTTGCCAAAATAATAAAAAATAAATAAAAAAATAAAATAAAATCTGAATCTTTTGCTAGGATAAACACATTTTTTCAAAGTAATCAAACAATGGGAGGAATCAATTTTTTCTTTTTGTCAAACACATTTTTACAATATACATAATGGATAATACAGTATGATTAGGTGGTTGAAGTGGTTTGGGAAAAGATACAATTGGATGAGTCCATTGCATAAGGTAAGGTCTGTCAAACTATGAGACAATGTTATGTAACTAAGATTAAGAGATTTCTTAAGCCTAATAATTGTTTGTGTATTGTATCACTTTAAATTAAGTGACAGATAAACCTGTCAGAAATAAAATCAATTTTATGGAAAATAAGAGTAATACAATCATTTGTTGACTGCACAATCAGCTGTAATGGGAGTTTGCTGTAGTAAGAGTTTGAAGATGAAAGGTAACTAAATAACATTGGCATTATGTTTATAAGTTTGTTATGTTTATCAGTTTTACAATATAATTCTTGCTAGTCTAAATTAACACTAATTACTTGTGTGGTAAAAATGTGTGACTCTCATGCCAAACACATTACAGAGAGCTCCATTATCACAATGGTAAACAGATGTGCCAAACTGGGCTAAAGTTTATTTGGAGCATACTTTAGAAATGTTATTTTATGCCTTATTGGACCCAGCTATGTGCAGATATAGAGAGCACATATAAGTATATAAGGATACAGGTATGTTGATTTAATAATGGACACATGTCAAGTTCTGTTTAGAGTTCTAGTAGTGAACTAATGCAAACCTCTGGGATGGAACATTTTTACTAATATAGTCATATTTTATCTATTGTACCCCATGTCTACTGCTGTCACTGATTACATCAAATTAAATAAGGAGCATTGCAAAAACAACACAAATGTCACATTAATGTTTCTTTAATAATATTTACAACAACAAGGCTAAATCAACACGTGGGATTTTTTGTTTTTGTTCTAGAAATAAATAGCAAAATAAAACAATAAAATAACATGAAAAGATAAGGCAATATTGAGATCTTGGCAGTTGTGCAAAATGGGACTGTTGTTTGTTTTTAAGGATGGACTGTCCTGTCAGAGACATCAAGACACCTGTGATTTTTCTAGTGGTCCTAAAATATACTTTAATGCAAAATTCAAGTTAATGTTCACATTCTAATCACTAAATAGTGTGTAGTATTGTATTGTGTGAGGACACAGCTAAGCTAAGCATGTGTCTACTAATATGGAAGTTATGTTGCTCTTATGAACCCGGTAAGAGTCAAGAAGTCAAAGCATCATGAAACAGAGCATGTGAAAACTGTCCCGTTACATAACCATGTAAGTAAGAAAGTGCCGTGTATTTGGAAGAGTTACTTTTCAAATCCACTTAAATGATGAAAAGGAAGTGACTGGCACTAGAGCCATAGTGGTTACTCATAATGGGCAAAAAGACCATTACTTTTGGTTTCATAATTATGACTGACCATGTTAAAGCTGCAACAAGGAAACAAGTTGTAAACAAATAAATAATAGTTATGTCTTGAATAAATCCTTCAAAAATACACAAACTGGCCAAAGGAATGACAGTGGAGGAGGTATCTGTGTGCTTTGATTATGGCCATGAGCTGATGGAGGCAGGTAGAACACAAATGTGTGAAAGAGCCTTATTTAGAAGATAATTGCCTCCACCACCAAGACTCCACCATACTGTATATTATAAAATACAGTATGATATAGCTATGTTTGCTTAGGCTCAACACTGTAACTAGAATAATGATAAAATAGCACCTGAAAGCGTTGTTTCACAGATATGAGGTTGGTGACGCTTGTGCATTATGGTGCATTATGGTTACAGGCTATGGCTTTACCCACAGATTAGTATAATATGTAACACAAGGTCTAATATCTCACTTAGAGTGAAGAGTAATATTTTCAAGAATGAATGATGGATACTAATTTAAGGGTATACTATGTAATGCATTCTTATAGTCAGCGGGGCCATCTTTCCACAGATCTGTCCTGTAACTTGGCCTGGTGTTGTCACGTGCCTATGCAGACAGATAAGTTAAATGCTATTCTGCTGAACATTCTAGGGAAAATAATAACATCTTCACAGAGACGTGCGTATAGTGGATCCGCTACCAGAGTTACACAGTGCACCATTAAACTGTCTGAAAATGCTTCTATTTTAAAATGAATATTACACTTTTCAAATTTAGCAAATGATACAAATATTTTCCTCTGTACAAATTGTTTTTATAAAGATAAACGAGAAGTCTGACTGAGAGAGCACCAACAAAAAATTATTAAATACCATATAAGAACTACCTACTTCAAAAATAAACTCATAACTGTACAAAGATACAAACATGATCAATAAAGTCATAATATTAACTCTTATACACAAATGTACAATTGTGTACTTCTGATACAAGTGGATGACAGCAATAACATCAAAACATTTACTTCAATAAACACATGAAATAAATATTTCCAAAGTTTGCCTCATGAGATATGTCACAGTGGTGGACATTAATGTCCAAAATGTAGAGCCTGATGATTAATACAGGCTGCAGCCCAAATGAGAAATGTGTTTGTAATCACCCTACATATCTGTGAAGCAGCATTATGATTTTAGTTTTTTTTAGATTAGCACCTTTCTTGGGAGTCTACATGACCAAAGCCTGCTAGTGGTGTTTTACAGTAAACCCAGTGTTCAGCTCATTTAGCTACACTTTTTGGGCAGTATTAACACTAGCAGACAAGAGGTCTGAGCTCATTTAGACCCTGTGCCAACAATTGCATCTCACAAAGTAACAGTATAAAAGTAAGGTAGTACTATCGTACCGGCTTCCATGGTCTGCGGTGCCAAGAGGCAGAGCCTGGACAGGGCTGCAGGTTGCATTGCTCCATGTCTGGGGGCTTGTCCAGGACATCACAGTTGTATTCATTCAGCCTTTGACCATTGGGCCTTTGGCACACCACCAGACGTGTTTTTCTCCCTCCTCCACAGGTTTGAGTGCACTGATGGTTGAAAATCAATGACATGTTACTCAGTGTTATTATGCTAAGGGGTATTTCTTTAGCCAAAGTCAGTCTTACCTCTCCCCAGCTTCCATAGTTCCAGAGTGGGCAGGGTCCAGAGTCACAGCTTTTGGACTCTGCAGGTTTAACCCTTTCATCACAGTAGCTGTTGCTTCGCCCATCTGCATCCTGACACACGACCACTCGCCTCTGAAAGCCTCCTTCACATGTACTTGAGCACTGGAGACACAAAGAAAAACATATTGGCATTATAAACGCTATTTTTGTTTTTAATAACAATGAGACCTTTTTGCCTAACTGAAGTAAAATGTCTTGTAGTACATACAAACACATTTGCCTCACCTCCAAACCAAAACAGTAAAATCACCTAACAGAATTGTAGCTCTGTAAATTATAGTTTTATGCCTCATACCAAGGCACAGTTTGGTTGTGCTGCTAAACATTATCTTGGTGAAATGGAAAACATCAGGCGTGAAGGACAGTCTCAGACTGAGCAGAACAGCCTTGAACAGAGCAGTAGGTACGCTCTGCATCCAATTAACATGACACATCTCCAGTGTCAGCAGGGGTGAGCACACTCAGTGCCCCGGTGTGAGGGAGGCAGACTGAGCTTTAACAGCACCGCCTTTGGTCAGCTTCATTACATGAGATTTACCAGCGCCTCTGCTGCACGGATCACATCAGAACAATGGACCTCTTATGAACTTCAGAGGAAGACTCCTAAGGCCTATCCGGTAGACATATCAGTGACTCTAAAGGAAAGACCTGCTACTATCCTTCACTGACTTAACACATAAAGCATACATACAATATTACTTAATCCGTTGGTCTACAATAGAATTGCGCAAGTATGTGCTAGCTAACACAAACAGCTAATATATTGTATACATTCTTCAGTCTTTGTACACAGTGGAGTCTTTCCCTTGGCGCTGTTCCTAAAATCCATTACCATGTATGGCCCCATAACATATGCAAAGTGCAAATGTTCACAAGCACATGTTAACACAGAGAGATAATGAAGGCCATCATAAAAACACAGTGTCCTACATATGAAAAGGAACAAAACTACATTCATTACAACACACTACAGACATTGGCAATGACTTACTGCTCCCCACGGCCCTGTCCTCCATTGGTTGTCTGCTGAGGGCACGTTCCAGCTGTTGTGACCAGGATGGCGTCCCGGGTCGTGGGGGTATCCATAAGGCTGGTCAATGCGTTGGCGCTGGTACACAGAGGGGCAAGGAGCAGCAGTGCAGTCTTGTTCTGAGGGGGGCTTCTCATCTGGGTCACAGAAAGACTGATCCACTTGACGATGGTAGTTTGAGCACACCACCTGCCTGTTACTTCGACCACCTCCACAGGTCACTGAACACTACAAAGATAAGACAAGGTTGAGTTTTAGGTCAGGAGAAATCAGAGCAAATCATAGTGAATATGGCGGAGCTTCTCAGTATTCAGCGTTTACCAAACAAAAACCTCCGGGCTTGGAGCCGATGCATTCCTCCCTGAGCGATGAGCCCTTATGTCCTCAGAGACATTCCACATTTTTAACTATAATTAAAATAATTTTATATGTACATCCATATCAATTATTTGGGGGTCCTTAGACAACCTCACTTCCCACAGACTGCAGGCTAATCAGTGCAAGTCCAGTTTTAACTGTCCGACATCCCAGCTGTGCCAAATAGCCATTAAGTTCCAGGAAAAGTGCTCTCCTTGCATAAAAAGATAAAAAACATCTGTACTGATTGGACACAGTGTTGTGGTTGTTACTCACAGTGGACCACTCCCCAGCGCGCCACTGGCCACAGGGGCTGAAGCACGAGGAGCTCTCTGGGGGGCGGGGCAGATGAGCACAGTGCGATTCGTCGGCCACACCTCCCTGGGCATCCCGGCAACTGACGTAACGGGCACGCTTCCCTTTGCCACAGGACACCGAGCACTGCAGACAGTAAAGGCACATCGAAGATTAGCTTCTTGACAATGTGTTAAAGATTTTGCAATAATGCTGCAACCGCTTTAATTTAAGTGGAACTAAATATTAAATACATTTTTCACACTATTAAGCTGTGTATATATTTATTAGTCGCAGTATCTGTTGTTCCTAGTCATTTTTTGGCTATTTTAGTTCAAACTAGTTAAATTTTCAGCTTTCTGGCCAAAAACTGAGTGAGCCAAAGTTATAGTGCTGACTCCAGTTGCCACTACTGCAGTGGTGACGTCACGGGCCTGTGCCCTGATCACAGCCAAGTACTTCTGAATACAAACCCCTGTTAGACCAACCCCAGTGTTCTTCTGTGGTTTATGCCTAAAGACTTAAATGACGCTTAATCACCATTTTATTTTTTATGACATTTTACACATTTCTCCCAGTGATTTTTCTGGTCAGTTTTAGCATTTCAACTGATCTACGCTATTTTGTTGTGTCAAATATAGCAGTTGACCACTTAAACTACCATAATCATTGCTTTTATTCCACAATGGTTTTGTAACAAAATGGAAAACAAACTATTATACCTGTACTAAAAGATCTTTGAGTCCTGGTATCCTTATCCTGGTCTCTTGCCAGAGGTCTAAGCATTCTGGAGAATTCTAGTTTTGATCTTTCATCTCCTGGTAAACATGTAAGCTTTTGTATAGACAATATAAGTACATAAAATTACAAAATTTAGCCTTCATGCATAACATTTTAAAATGTAGTCCCAGAACACTAGTTGTTTAACTGTTATAGTATTGAGTGATTGGATCTGGATGTAATTTCATCTAAGCATAGCTCATCATAGCTTAATGTTACCTTACCTGTTTATAACTTTAGCTTGTGTCTGTATTTGTTTTTACAATTGTTATTATCTTTTAAACACAAACTTGTTCACCCACAGTGATTGCTTTCTGTGTTTTGTCTTTCCCAGTGTTGTCCTCGTATGACTTCCTGATCAACTTTCACCTATAGGTGCACTTCCTTCATTTCAAAGAAGACATCAAACATTTGTAACTGGATGAATACCTAATGCAATCAAATGGCTCCAGACAAAATGGGAGTGCTAATATCCTGGTGGTATCAATTACAGTCTAAATACCCTGATTTCACACAAACTGGATGGCAGTAGTGTACATGTGTGTTTTTGGACCACACTGGCGCTGGCCTCTTTGACATGTGAGCTCACACTGACTTTTGGATTGACAGACAGGGATTCAATCTTAGAAACCGTAGACTTGTGTTTAGATGAAATCTGGTTTTCATTTGCAGCCAGTAACAATGCAAAAGTATCAAGGAGACAGAGGGGCCTCAGAGCAGAAGACAGCAGACTCAGTGTATGTGGGTATAACTGTTCTAATGCAGTAGGGGGTAGAAGAGACAATGCCAGCCAGGATCAAGGCTCAGTATAAAATGTCCTCTCAGGAAGGAATGCTAGGATATAAACAATATAAATGTTGTATGCTGGCTTATACTGGTGAACACAGGAAACAGTGATTGCTGGATCATAGTGATATATGAAATGCAGACATGAAGAAATACTTGTCATTTTAAGACAAAGGATTGCCTCGAAACCAAAATGCAATTATTCTCCAAAGCAACTCATGTCAATAAACAATAGTATGAATTGTCTAGTACACACTGTATGTATCTTAAACTAAACCTAAAGCCCCGGATTGGTGAATTCATAATTTATCTTACAGCAGTCCAAGAGCCGTATCTCCACTGGGTCAGGAGCTGGACTGAGTTCTCTGGACGTGGGGTGCTCTGAAGAGGGGAGGCCCATGGACATGCTGGCATCTCACAATCCTACGTACAGTGATAACGTCATTATCGTACATTTTGAGTTTTCCCATAACCTGAATGTGACATATAGATATGATAAATAATCACCTCTAAAATATATGTACACTACATTAAGGTAACCCTAATCCACACATCTGTGATAGATTCCATAAACCAGGTTCAGTAGTTCACAGGGGCTTTAGTACCCATGTCTATCATAGAACTCTTAAAAAGATACATCTAACAGTTGAATGTGAGCCTGTATTGTAAACGTATCTAAATTTACAGAACTATTGCCTAACAGGAAAAGAGGATATCATCTTGGGTCCAGTAGAAAATTTATGGATGTGATAAATGAATGCATTTTTAGGGTTTAAACATTTTGACCTCTTTCACTACTTCCTTAATCATTCAACATATAAACTTGAGATTGTTTTTGTACCTGACTGTCTCTGGGTCTGGATGCAGCATTGCACTCCCGGTCATCCACTGTGTCCCCATAGTTTCCTGAAACACACCGGACTGCTCTCATCTGGTAGCCATGGCCACAAGTCACTGCACACTGGAGAAAAGAAAAAAGAAAAAAATTATACTACATAATATACTATTATTTGAGAAAGAAATTGAAACTAGTCAAACAGAAACATTTTTACTTTGCCCACTGGGATTGGATTTGCAAAAAGCAGGATTCTGTTCACTGTGCACATTGTTAACAGTATTAGCAGGAGCATTAACATGAGAGAAGACTGAAACACAAACTGCTAAACTAATCAAAGCATCTCATGAATTTCAGAACATATTTGACAATTTTTCTATTAAAACCAAGATATTTTGTTTTTTGCAGAGGACATTCATCTTAATAACTGTAGCTTTTGCTATTTGATAACTGTGCAACAGAAACTGTGATTTAGATTTGATTGCGATATATTGTTCATCCATAATTCAAAGCGTCTGCAGGTTATAATTTCATGAGAGTTAACAGATTTGTCTTATTTGTCCAACCTGGTGGAAGCACAAGTTTACTAAAGTTAGACTTATGTTAGCTGAACTTGCACACACACAATCCAGCATTGCTAATTGCATGTCCTAAAACAGAACCCTTTGTCCAGTTTCTTTCTAATATTAAAATCAACTGCATTTGAGAGCAGAGGAAGTGTCACCAGAAACGTTTATTTGAGTTGCAGTTTATAATTACACAAGCATTAACAAGCTAATATCTGCACCAGCTTTGCAAATAAAACTGTGTCTCAATGCAAACAGACATGGGAGGCCATTAAGTCTGTAACTATAAACTATGAATGAAAGGACACCCATTCATATCTGTTTTAGTCATTGAGATGCAGCTAGGCTAACAGTGTCAAATCAGCACACTTGGAAACTATAGGAAGCTATGTGTTTGAGCTGTGGGGTCAAGTTTAGTCTGACAGGATATGAGGCTAAAGTGTAAGCACCGAGGAGGAAATCGCAGCTGTAGCTAGAGCACACTCCTGCCTTACGAGCTTCTATATTGAGTTACAAATACACAAAACCGTGAAATATACACTATCTCTCCCAACACACACACACATGCACACTCAGTAAGCTATACAGACATGAGCCACACGTGAAACTCATTTCCTCTGTCAAACTCTGCATCAAGTCGCCTTAACCCAAACCTTGGTGTGTCAGAGGAATAATATTGTAAGGTGTAATTTGTGGGACTCACCGCTCCCCAGACTCCGACCTGCCAAGATGCACAGTCCGGCAGCTCGCAGCTCCCCACAGATGGTGGTTTGCTGGACTGGTCACAGAGGTGCTCACTTAGCTTTTCTCCTCCACTTGACATCATGCAGGAGACTTGTCTGTGTCTCATCCCTTTGCCGCAAGTCACTAAACACTAAAACCAGAAATGGACATGAAGCTTTTTATAAGGAGCTAACAAGAATTAAATGAATCAAACTAACTCAATTGCAATTCAGAAGCCAGACTGCCTGTACTAATCTCAGTCAGCATGCAATATTAGTAAGAAAACACCTCAAAAATACAAGTATTTAAATGTACGCTGTGCAACTCTTCTGGTGGATGAGATGCTATTGCTTTTCCTTTAGTGTTCCACAGTATGGCATTAAACATCAATCTAGACTTTTTTTTACATAATGAGTGGTTTTATAGGCCAAAGATACCTTAAAAAGGTATCTGACCTGTGACTGTGACATATGACCACCTCGTTGTCTCCAAGGAGATAGATATGTTTAAAGCCATTCTGTGGAACATTCGAGACAAAGCAGCAACATTTCCAGAGAGATGGGTGGTGAGGTTTAGGTATATACTGTAACAATAACTATCTAATGACAACAGAGGGGCAGTAACAATTGAGAAACAAGGACAGAAAGAGAAGAGTTTACGTTGCCATATTCTCAAAATTTATTATTAACTGTTTCTTGACAGCTTAAAGGCCTTCATAGCTTTTTGCATGCCAAATCGTACAGACTTGTAGAAGATTGTGAAAATTGTTGTTGTGAAGTTATTTTTTACTAATGTGTTTCTTACCTCACTCCATTCGCTGACAGTCCATTTAGGGCAAGGCTGATCATTACAGATTTCAGTGACCACTCTTTGGTACTCACTGCAGTCTCTGTCCACAAGCCGGCGACCCAAGTTGTTCATACAATACGACTCTCTGCTCCTGGTACCACGTCCACATGTTTTTGAGCACTACATAAGAAATCAAATGTAAGGTCCAGAACAGATGTTATAAACTGAATTTCATTTAAAGGGCCCATATTACGCTATTTTCCATTATAATGTTGTTTCCTCATCACAAGCATACCTGGAGTTGTGTTTTCTTTCATTGACACGTTTAACATACAAACCCTGCATATGCTGATTTCTTCTCTCAGACAGAAAACACTCTGTTCCACCTTGTGATGTCATCTGATAATACAGGGTAATAACACAGTGCTCCACTATGTTTTAAAACTCCAGACACCCTCATTTCATTTCACACCTGATATTACCAATCTCTAGTGAACTAAAAGTAAAATGTAGCTGTTAACTTGGAAACTACCACTAAATAACATCACAAGGTGGAACAGACCATTTTGAGCTTTGGAGATGTAGACAGATTAATAAAAAAAAGGGTTACTCAAACATATGTGAATCAAACAAAACACAATTCTAGGTCTACTTTTGATGTAACCTTCTAAGATGGCTTAAAGCTCACAAAAGTCAGTTTTGTGTACTATGGGACCTTTAAGTAATGACCAAATGATAATACCTGTGACCATGCACTGTACTGCCAGCTCTTGAGCAGACAGTCCCCGTGGCAGGGCTCTCTGGTTTGAGGTTTGGACATTTCTGTGCAGGCACTGGCTTCTGCTCTTTGAGTCTGCCTCTTTGTCTGACTGTACTTCATACAATGGACATCCAGCGTGCGGTAGCCTGGGCCACATTTAGCTGAGCATTCACTTTTGCCAGCTACATGCCACCTGGGATAAAACAGTTAAAGTGTGTAGAATTATGCTTAGGCCAGGTTATGTCAGAATTTAAATCTGACCAGAGCATAGCTAAAATTTATCAAATATACTTGAACTAGAGTGTGACACATGTATCCTAAGACAAAATACACAAAAATTATATGAAAATAGGATGGCCAATATGATTACCAAAAATTAATTTTAAACAAAAATATCTTCCTCCAAAGTCTGAACTCTGCTACCACAAGCTTACTGACAGGGGATAGGCTGTAGACATTGCAATAAAAAGGCCTAATCATATCACTGACATGAAAATAATTGACATGATTTTTTGCATTGGATTAATGTTTGTGTGATTTAAATGAAACGTATTGACATGTTTTAAAGTAACTATCAGTGTTAAAGTATTGTCTGAAACAGTGGGCAGATAACACAAGATTATTCTTCTTTCAGCTCATTTTCATTAATTTATTTTATATGTTTAACTTTATAACACTGTTGATGTCTTTTTATATTTTATGAATGAATATAAATAAATAAATACAAGTAATAAATAGTAAGGGGAAAAAAAAGGGAAAGTAATAAAAGTTAATGTATTCATTCCCACCTGACTTCACAGTCAGTGTTGCAGGGCTCTGTAACAGCCAATGGTCGTGGTAAGTGCTCACATCGTTGGTCTGATACCTCGAGATGATCACTCTTGCGCACACATACGGCCTTTCGTCTCCTCTCACCTGTAGGAAAAAAAAAACACAAGGAAAAATGAGACCCAGTTTAAGCGGCATTACTCCAGCTAGTCTATCATCAGCCAGCATTTGGTGGTCTATTTACCGGCTCACACTCTGCACTCTGACCCCTGGGGCTTGACCAGCTGCTGAGTGGGTGACTGACTAAGTTCTAGTAAAGAAATCGGAGGGGCTTAACTGGGTTACAGGGCCAATGGGAAGGTGTTAGACGATGTGATGTAGGCAGGGTCATATCAGGGTCAGTGTGAGGGAGCAGGAGACATCGTAAGATAATGAATGAATGGATAAAAGTAATACATATAGTGTTCAGAATTTCAAACTACTCAATACCAAGTTTGATACCTAAATGATAATAAAAAATATATTTTCTGACAATAAGCTAATTTTAACATAATAGAATTTTATTTTTGTTATGTGGTCTTTTTCAAGTTCTCTTAAAGTTCAAAATCATTCTGAACAGTCAAATTTGGTCAGTTTATGTGATTTAAAAATATTAGTATCTATTATGATAATAGTTTTAGTATTGATTAGTATTTAATTTTCAATACTTTTGATAACTGCATATTTGTATTTTTTATATTCATCAGTAGTGTACCATTGGGATTACAAACCTCTTTTTAAAACAAATCTAGGTCACGGAAGAAGTACACAGCAACAACAAGCATCTCAACATTCAGATAATAAAGACCACATTCTTTAATTAATTTGCTATAGTAAAACTGAGCTCTTATCCATGAGAATTTATTGAAATACTAGACATTTTACATGTTTTATCTCACACATTAAATCCTTCACACTCAGTTACACCCGAATAGTTATTTTCATGAATCATTAAATTGTTTTTACTTGAATTCTTTGAAAATCATCCCACCTTTGCCTTGTTAATGTATATGTAGTCGCTTTTACACCCCATTGTGCAGCTTTACTACTTTCCTAACATCCATGAGACGCCGGTCCATACCTTGACAAATGCGGTTGCACTCGAGCCAAGAGCCTGAAGGATCCCACAGAAACTGTTCCCTGTGTTGCTCAATGGGAATATTGAAGGAGTAGCGCACATCTGGGTTGTAAAGGTTTCCCACACACAGAACCTAGGAAAGGGAAAGCAAGGTCAGATAAGTTAAAAGGACTTACCTATTTTGTCTGTGTGTACCTGTTTTGTCTGGGTTGTCAAATAAGGTAAAACATGGATTTGGGTGAATGGTCACTACCTGTAAGATGAGCTCCTCTTCTATTCGGTCTGTGCAGTTGATTCGTTCTACTTTGGTGTCTGATCCACTGTATTCAATAACTGTTCCCTTGAAGGTGATTTCCCTTTTGAACATGGCCACTACAAAGTTTCCATTCAGAAGAAAGTTGGACTTGCCATCAGATAAAGCTGCAACCACAAATACACAAACAACATGTCAACAGCAAACTTCTGCATACGTGAACACTGTTTAAGATGCTCCAGCACTATTATATAAACAAGGTGGAATACATCATTATTGCATAAACATGATCAGAGTTGCCAGTATTGTGGCTGTGCAATTGTTAGAGGGCATATGCTAAATTGGTGTAATTTGGGCTTAGCCTGTGTGACTGACATTGAACTGTAAGATATTCACTAGTGCAAAACAAACAAGTACATAAACATCCACACATGGTCCACTGCATGAAGGGAATAATGAGCACATTTTCAATGCCTCAAAACATATGCTTCTAAGAAAAATGCACTTAATTGTATTCTTTTGAGCATACCAAAACAATGTATGTGATTAGTTCTCTAGTCACAGTGCTGTTTACATTAAGGTCTGCTGCTATGCCTCTGCACTATCCTTTGGCCTACTGAGTGTCCCAGAAGATTCTTGACAGTAGACTGACAGTGTATTTCAATAGTAAAGGACCAAGTGTTTAGTAATTGTGATTTATATGAGTTATTAATGATGTTGAGGATGTCAGTAAAGCTTTATTTGTATGCTTGCCAATAAAAATGTTGGGAGTCCATGAATAAAACATGTGATGTAAAGGGGTTGAAATTTCACAGCTGGATTATCGTTTATGCCAATGCTGTCAGTTGCTTGACACAATGTTATACTTGAAATAAAAACAAAACTTTAGTCCATGCTTGTGACTAACATTACTCATGAACTTGACAGACAAGTAAAATAATATATTCAGCACATATTTCACAGAAGTGTATGTTTATAAAAGAAAGGCTAATTCTCAACATTTTGACACACAGACAGAGTGCACCTGCCACAACCCAATATATTTAACAAAGCATCCAAAATTCAAACCAGGCTTTTGACATAGTCACATTCAATCACATTATGGCCAGACTTTCTCAGAGCAGGGTGGGAACAAGACCACATGTGTTTTTTAGCTAAGAACACCTTGATAGCTAACACGAGCCAGTTTAAAGCCTGTGTAGACAGCTTCTCTCCTGTTCTAAGACACCCAACATCTTATATGTGGTACCCCTGTCTCACCCTGGACCCCTATATCCACTTTCATGCTGCCTGGGCTCCACATGGGTCTAATTAGCACCTATTGCTGCCTCATTTATCTTTCCTAGAAGTTGACACTCCATTTGCTTTCCCAACCAAACTTCTTTGCCATAACCATATGCACCAACGCCCCTCGTGGTTTCCTTCCACAAATTTCCTTTTCTTTATAAAAAATCAGCTCAATTCTTTTACCCTCCAAGTCTAGGTCACCAACCCTGGGTGGTTTAGAATCTTATGAGGGGATAATGGCATTGACCTGAAATGAGAAGTGAAGGCTAGTGATATATACTATGCCTTATGAGCCGTTTCTGCTTAAAGCTAAGGATGGCTTTGCTTGAACAAACATGTAATTTGATACTCGCTGCTTCAAACCACATCCTTGAAATGACAAAGTGAACTCACCGAGGTAGTTGTCATCTTCTGGTTTTCCGGAGTAGCTGACTTGTTTGATATCAATGTTGGTGGCACCGGCCGGGATCCGCACAACTGTGTTATAGCCTAAGAAAACAATTAAATATATGTTAAATAGTGTAAAAACTATGAATAATCTGAGTAAGTGTGCAGAAATATTTAATGGATTCTCTGGGAAAACATTGTCAAGAGAAATTCAGGAAAGTAAATTTTTTTTGAAATAACAACATTTAGGGCTAAGACCTGGAATCAAAGCTTAAATTTAGTAGCAACCAAACTCTCAGAATAGTAAAATAAGTTCTTAAGATGTAGTATCTTGGATCTAAATATTATAATTGCACATGAATCCTTATACCCTATATTATGATATACATTTCAACAGTTTCTTATTAAAAAGATAGAAATGAAAAAAATTTTTTCAAAATGGTGACTATAAGTAAAAACATTTTCATTTGATGAACCTAACAAAAAAAAGAAGAAAATCTGACACTAGGGATTCACAAACTACAAAAAGCTTCAGTGTTCTCAAATATTCCACTGAGAACCGTGTTTTAGGAGCGACCGTCAAATGATATGTAATTATTCCCTGGACTTACCTTTGGCCTGTAATTACTACACTGGCTCTGTTGTACCATGATAAACGAACACAAAGAAAACAAGTAAGCTTATAGATTAAGACTGACAGGGAGAGCAATGGTGAGTGGTAAAAGAACACAGCAAAGCCAAAAGGTGAGACCAAAATTATCTTGGGACTTGGGACACTATAATTATTTTGTGCTGAATTTAGCTTTTCACTGTGGACTAAGGGAAGGGCTGGCATGATAAGATTAGCAGCTCAGCACCTTGAGCCACTCGGGGGCAGCACTTGGTTTGCTACTGCATAGTTTGGTAATGTCAGTTATCAAATAATAAGCTGCATGTTATAACCCATGTATTTAATATAACACATGCACAATACATCTATTTGTAATATATGTCTTGTTCAACTATGGTTTGTAGTATTTCATTCTGTTGTATAGCTTCATTTTGTGGTCATTCAAAATTCATAGCGACCTTGTTTTTTTGCTAAGCCTACATAGGTATTTCAGTTGTATACTGTATACGGTAGCATTTTGCATTTTTTATTATACATATATATGTTTTAGCGTGAAATAAAACTGAAAAGCCACAATGAACCAAACATAATCCATCAAACACAAGACATTTGAAACTAAATCTCCGGTATCACTTTATAATAACTACACCTTAATTAGCCTTAATAAAGTATGAACAAAGACTTAATTCATACTGATCAAATAGTTTATCATTCCCGCTTAGTAACTACTTAAGGAGTCAGGAGTTGGGGTCATGGTATTTGTTAAGTAGTTACTAAGCCTAAATCATTATTAATAAACAGTTGTTTGTTATGAATTAAATCTTTGTTCTTGCTTTGCTAAGGCTAATTAAAGTTAAGTTATTATGAAGTGTTACCAAACCTCCATCTTTGAAGAAATATGCTGTCCACAAGCTGCCAGAGCTCTGTGAGATCCCTGCAGCTTAGCCCCTGACCACATCACAATCCTCCTCCACCACACAATGACCCGGGAATGAACAGTAAACACACCACTAAAGGGAAAACACAAGGCAAAAGCTGTGCTTGAGGAACGCCAGAGTTCACCTCAAACTGCTGTGGATGAGAGAGCAACCAATCCCTAAGCCCTGTGTGGTAGTGGCTGATTTATAGCCTAATTTAGTAAGTAGTTTTTTAGATCTATGCTGGAGAATTATGGTTCTCAATCCTTTCAAAACATTATCATCTAGACTAGCTAACATGATCTAATATGAATATGAAGTCTTAACTAACTCAACAAGAGCCGTACCACCTTGCTGGAGTGATTAGGATGGTTGGAGAGACACACAGCCTCACTTAAGTCAGTCTACCCCAGGGCAGTTGTGACTACACGAGCCATTCATTTGTACCACAATTTGAGAAACACTGAATTGTAACTTATTCTTCACAGGTTTAGAAATTGATTGCTTCTCCAGCAGCTATTAGTAAAGACTTGCAGGCAGTTGTGTAGGCTTGTTAAATGCATTATCTATAATGACGCCTCTCCCTTTGAACTTTTTTCATTGTATCTGGAAAAGCTAAAATGGGCAAATAGCTCGTGGGACAAATCACAGAAGCACAGGGACATCCTCCAAGTCATCTTTATTAGGATTACACCATTTCTATTCAAGATGTGGGTGCTTGCTTTAATAGAGTCTTGCAGTCCTTGCTGGTAAACACATGCGAAAGAAAACAGATGGATGGGGACGGTATGCTAAACCCAGTGCCAAAGCAGCAACCACACCCGGGGCTTTTATGCTAATGCTTCTGAATTTGGCTGGTCTGAAAGGGTCAGACGCAATCAGGATTTGGCATTCGCTGACAACATCCATTATGGAGTAGAGCTGAAGGAGGTGATGTCAGTTTTCTAGTGATATTGAAAGAACGGTTAGAAAACCTTCCTTAAAAATCTCATTTGCAACATTCCTCTTAGTGCAGAAGAAATAGAATTTATTCCTGCAAATCAATCTCAAAGTGTTTAAACATTACCAGACATGACATCAACTCCTAATATGAACGGCATGTGAGCAAGGCCATGCGAAGTCTCTGGTGTTTACCGGGTGTCATGTATATCAAAAGATTATGACAATGTTGTAATTTAGTAAGTTTTATGAGAACACAGATGATATGATGGTTTCTGCACAATTTCTTCACTTTATCTGTAGTTTTTCTTCACACTATTTTGAGAGGGGATGTTCTGCAAAATGAACTTTTTGGAGGTGTCTACCATGTCATAACGTCCCCTCATCAAAAACATGCCTGAAGTGTTTTTTAAATGTTTGAGCAATCTTATGTCTTTCCCAGTCTTTACGTTGTTTTCAGTGAATACAGCATTTTCAAATGATAAAAGGTAACATGGTGATCTAAATTATTATTTAGATTACTCCCTCTTTAATGTGCATTTTTGTGAGCAGTCCAGCAGAGGTATGCCTTATAAAAGAGATATAGATAATTTTAACTTTGGTGTGGTTAGGTACAACCTATTTACATTTATAAAATTTTTTGTAGTTATTCATTTGGAAACTTAGTTTGTTGTTCCTACGATACAAACATTACTTAAACAAACTAAACTTGCATAAATTTCTCCTTATCTGTGAAGTTTTTTGACAAATACATGTATTACTTTGATGGCTATATTACACTTCCATTGGGGCGATACTATTTACATAGTTCCTTCCTTAAGATTAAGACTTGGCAGCTCTCCCTCCCTCTGTAGTACAGTAAGTGATATGTGAGATGACGTACCGTACTGAGCGTCGTTGAAAGTCCCAGCCATAGTTTTACATGAGGAGTTGTCTCCTCCGCACACCCCACACTTATCATTTCGGGCTTTGGAGTTAAGCACATGATCACAGCCTGCTTGCTAGAGATGAAACACAGTGGAAATAGGGGGTTTAGAAAGGTGTACACTCTTAGAAGTTGTACAAAACAGATCTGGCAAATTTTGACAAATCATGGGCTGAGAATCTAATTGGCTTTTTTTTTTTTTTTTTTGAATGAACACACAAGCTATAATGCAGCATGTCAGTGCAAATCAAATTGAGGTGCACTTGAAGGTGCATTTTGTAACTTTTGTGGTGGAGGGTCTGTCACCTGCTTGTTTCAGTGGATATGTCATTACTCTGCTAATAATGTACCATGCTACAATATTAAATAGCTCTACCTTACATTTATTAAATTTTATAGTTTTAAAGCTCAAAAATTCCTAGAAAAACAGCCATTCTTACTTTGAGTGGGGGTGCCTCTCCACAGACCTGAACTGTAACTTGGTCTGGTTTGGTCTCCATGAAGATAGAAAATTGTAATACCCTACTGAGAAACATTCCAAGCAATAACATCTCCATGGAGAAAATTATTTAATGGATCCTCCACCAGAAAAGTTACACAATACACCTTTAAATGCCATTTTATTCTCACATAAATTTATATTAAAAAGTAATGGTTTGAATATTGTTGGTTTTGGTATGTTACAATGGAAATACTGACTTTTTAAAAAGAATGTTATTTGAGAGTGATTTCTGTGTTAATATTTACCCTGCAGAGGCCTTGGACACAGATATCATATGTATCTGGTCCACAAGGGGTTCCATCGATGACGCGGTCTTTCAGTTGGTAGTACGCCATTGTCCCAGCAACACGGCAAAACAGCTTACACCGATCCTTCATTAAAACTTTGTAGAAGAAAACACATGAAAAACACATGAAAAGTTTGTAAAAACAGCTGGTTATAGAATGAATGCACAAAATTGAAGAAATTAAGAAATTGGATTAAACATATTTCACAAAGGTGGAAAAGCCTAACTTTGCCAAATGCAATCTTGTGTTTGGAAAAACTGCATAGTACTTGCTGCAGGGGTTGGCCTGTTTGCTTGTCTAGTATCAAATAAATGAATGCAGCAGTTGGAGTTGCACACATTGGAGTCTGGGCAAATCATCACAGAAACGACTGAGATATTGCAGTGAGTGGAGAAATTGCCAAGCAGCTCCAAGTGTTGTGATTAATGTTCATGAATCCAAAGCATGTTTAATAAAAATGAGAGAAATATGTGAGGAAAAATGTGGTATTAATTTAGTCTATTCATACAGCGTATCACTGTAGATTGCATTCAAAATTTCAAAATGACAAAGGGCTCCAAATTTTGCCTTTAGTTTACCTGTTCAGCTCTAAACAAATAAAGGTGTTTTAAACCATCTCACATCCTATAAGTGTCTTTATGAACATCCACATCACTTCCAAAGATGAATCACCGTAGCCTTAATATTTATGCTCTGACTCCTCACTATGAGAATGCTCTTGAGATACTTACTGCCACTGTACTTGGGCACCCAGCGTACAGTAGGAGGTAGGCCATTGATATTGAAGTGCTTGCCATCAAATTGAGAACACTGTTCTTCACGGAAGTCTTTGCGTCCTCGTGGACATGGCTCAGTGTTGCAGGAGCGAAATTTCATTCTGCGTCCAACACAGAATTTGCCCCCATTTCTAGGCCTAAAAACAATTTACAAGATGACGTTGGCTTCATATTTGCTACTATGAAATAATCTTTACATCTGGTTCTTACTCAGGCTTGTTGCATTCTCTCATGGTACTTCGTGTCCCTCCTCCACAGGACCTTGAGCAGACACTGTACGGCCCCCAGGGACCCCACTCCCCATGGACAGGCTGCAGGTCCAGCTCCTTGTTGATGCACATGCCATGGCGGCAGTACTGTGGCCACACAAACACATTCATTAGTGCAGGATGGCACAGTGCCATAGAAGACACAGAGTTTAGTGGTGCAGTGATGGTGCAACAACAGCTGGGAGCAGTGTTCCACTTTGCCTTCCTAATCCTCTGTTTACATCTCAGGATATATTTTAAGAAAGACATCCTAATTCAGCTATTGTTTGTCTTTGGGGAAAGAGTCCAACTCCTCCAGCTGTCCAAAGAGAAACAAGATAGTTAGGGAGGGACACTGATACAGACACAAATAGATGTGTTAAAAAGCAAAAAGGGATGTCCGTGAAAGCATGCACTTACAGAACCATTACCTGTGCCAGTAGTAGCATAGCACAAATTTTTTCCAACTGTTACAAGTTAGAATTACAACATCAATGCCGGTATAAAGAACTTCATTCAGGAATAATGTATGCTTCAGTTATGTAGAAAACCTCACATCAAAATACACTTTGTCAACCACTGTGTCACCACTAACTAACATTTGCCAAGAATTGCCAACAACTATTTCATAACTGAAACAGCCCTGGATCATTTCCTCTACAGAGAAACCAAATCTTACAAAGGGAGATATGGGGGTCTGTTCATTGAAAGAAAGCAGGACAAGCTGGCGTCTGTCTGGGAAGGCAGCACTTGCACAAGGAGCAATAGCACTCTGATAAGGAAACTCTAGAGCTGTGATAACAATATTTCCGACTGGCTTCATCATATTGTCATCAAACATACAAATTGTTCTGTGTATTTTAAAGGGCCTAGATTACAGAAAAGTTACTCTTGTGAGCTTTTAATCAAGTTATAATGTTGTTATCTCATCAAAAACATTGTGTTTTGTTTCATTCACACGTTTCAGTAAACCTTTATTATTAGTCTGTCTACATCTCCAAAGCTCAAAATGCTCTGTTCCACCTTGTGATGTCATAGTTGGTAGTTTTCAAGTTAACAACTACCTTTTACCTTTCATTCAGCAGAGATTGGCAATTCCAGGGCTGAAATGACCCAAATGCTTCTAAATAAAGTGCATAGAGTTTTAAAACAATGTAGAGCACCTCCTGTATTACCACTTGACATCACAAGGTAGACCAGATTGCTTTCTGTTTGAGAAAAGAAAATAGCCTAAATATGCAGGGTTTGTGTGTTGTTTTTGAAGGGAAACAACATTATAACAACATTGTAACATAGATCAGAAAATAGCATAATAGGGGCCCTTTAAATAATACAAATGTGCAACAGGAGAAAGAGAGACAGATTTGTAGACTATGCTATTTTACATGTCAGCTCTATAAAATTTAAATCAGATATAGTTATAGTTGTGTAGTTAACAATACTCCAACTGATAAATGTATTATTAAAGAAGACTACAAGTGAAGTTTTATGTTGACTGATGAATGATCGGCTGATAGTTGACTCTGGAGCAACAAATGGCCAGTAAGGTCGGCCCATATTTGAGCCAATATGTATGACCAATTTTCCCCAAATTATGTAATTTAAATTTACTAAAAACTCAAAGTCCTTTTTTCACAAACCTTTAAGAGAGTTGTGTAGTCATGTTTTGTGCAATTATCTTTTCACATTAAAGTATTAAAATAGAGCTTCGTGTGGAGTTTTTAGGCAGCAGATTGACCAAAATAAAATACAGGCCCAGTATATCAGCCAATTGATATATGAGTCTATTTCTACTATGTACGAGCAAGAACATTGAAGTATTTTGTGATCTCCTATAGATATTTGAACTGGAGCCTAGAAGTATTACATTTCAAATTACATTTCATTCCAAATGTAATTGACAAACTAGTACAAATCTATGTGAAGAACACATCCAAAAGTGCAGAGTCATACTAACAACAAACACATGTACGCAGACCCCTTTGGCATGGCTGGCTCTACTGCCCTGGCCTAGTTTACACACTGGTCTAATGATAAAGTGTATAATGTGCTCACAATGACAGACAGGTGTTAACAGCCGTGGGGCACAGACTAAACAAGCCACAAACATTTAGATAATGCACTCACACTTCAAGTAATAGCCTGGCAGCCTTTGCACAAGGATCCATAGCAATGCCAAATGTGCCTAATATGGAGTGGGACCATTTTTAAGCACAGTGATTTCAGCAAGTGAAATATTTACAAAATGTGTTACATACAGTTAAACTGAGTATTAATTTTTTAGTCTGACATCCAGAGAAACCAATGGGAGATAGGCTCTAATGATATGTTTGGGCTGATTATGTAGGGCCAATTTTGATTATTTTCTCTAAATTCTGTAATTTAAATTACAACCTCGCCCTTAAGCCTAGAGAGCAGTGTAGTCACGTATTATTTCCTCATACTTTAGTGTTCAAAAAGCTTTGTATGTATTCTTTAGGCAGCAAGTTGGCCAAAGCAATATATCAGACTGTGCCAGAGATTATCCCCAATAGCCGATGTGCAGAAAACAGCAAATATCAGCCCAATATATCGACCAACCGATATATCACTGTATCTCTATGTATCTCTATGTGCTTTACATTGATTAAATTACAGATGATTTTATAGTTCAAAAAAGGACTAGAAAAACTGTGAACAGGGTTGCCTCTCCACAAATCTAACTTGTACCTTAGTCTGGTTTGGTCCCCATAAAGAAGGTATTAATGCCATACTGTGAAAAATTCCAGACAAAGCAATAACATCTCCAGAGAGAAAAGCATTTGATGGAACCTCCACCTGAAAAGTTACACAATGTACCTTTAAATATCCTTACAACTGTCCCCTCCCGCAGTATCTGGCACTGGACCTGAGCATCTCCTCTATACCTCTTTTTTCTATACCTCTCTGCCTTCAGCCCATCCCCCTTATCCTCTTATGAGAAAGTTTAAGGACTAAGCGAGGAGGACCACCGCAGTGAGACCAGGCGTCAGGACCCGAGGAACTGTCAAACACAAGGCGAAGTGTCTGTCAGGGCACACCAAAAGCCTGTGTAAGCCTCTGAGGCATTCCACTCCCCCCACTGGCACCCTGTGTTTACAACCATTTTGTTTGGCCTGAAAAGGTGATGTGGGTGAAAAGAAGAAAGAAGGACTTGGAGCAGGGGGAGTGGGTGTGTCAGGGGAAAAAACATCTGTGTGAGATGATGCATGTATGTATGTGTGTGTGTGCGCGTGTGCGTGCGGGGGTGAGTATATATATCTTCATAACAATATGGGGACTGTGCACACACACGATAGGGACCTGCCTCACTTTCGGGACAAAAATCAGGTCCCCATAATGGAAGTTATTTATTATTATTAGATCAACAACATGGTTTAAAGTTAAGATATGGGTTAAAATAGGTTAAAGCTATGGTTAGAGATAGACTGAGACACATTTGGCAAATACAGGCAAAGCTTATCGACTGTCAGCTTCTCAGTTCTAAACAATAAGTATCAGCATTGGCCATTAAAAAACATTCTCTCTAGTTAAGATTTAGGTTAAGGTTAGACAAGTAGTAACTATAGTTAAAGTTAGAGTTAGGACCACTACTGAAGAAATGAATGTGAGTCAACAGAGTGTCCTCAAGAGGCATGGAAACCTAATGTGTGTGGGCATGTGCGTGTTTGTGAGCGTGCATGTCAAGCGTGGCCTAAAGTGTGCAAAAGTGTGAGAATGATTAGGCTCTGGAGGCATCTGGGGGCCACTCTGAATTCCAATTAGTCGCTCCTTTCCGAAGTACACAAACACAAGGCGAGGTGAAAGCCAGTGTTGGCAATGCTAACATAGGAAGAGCTGGTAAGGACAGCAGAACGGGCCTCCATCCCGAGAGGTTTTGAAAATTTGCACTCAATTGGGGCTGTGGTGAGACATTTGAAGGTCTTGTGAGAGAAACCTGTCCAGCTGTGACTAGCATGTGTTTCAAATTAGGTATTTCACAAAGGCACTCACCCTCGAGTACAGAGGTGCAGATCTGCTTACATATATATCGCATTTAAGGATTTTTACACATAGCTACATGTTGTGATACACATTCAGAGGTAATACGCTTAAGTACAGGAAGTGTCACAAAAGATAAGCCTATTTGTGTCACTCCAAAGCTCAGACAAAAGGTAGAAAAAGTTGTATGCAGTCTTGGCCCCTATGGCAAATGTAAAGGCCAGTTTGTGAAAATAAGCAAGTGGATTGTAAACTAACTATGTATAAATGAAAGATACTGGTACTGATAAGAAGCTTAAAATGTTGAGGTGAAGGTCAAAATGTAGAGGGGGCTGTGAGCTACAACAATGTCTGCCATAAATCAGTTTTAAACTTTACAAATAAAGCTGATTTATGCATGTGTTGTGGTATTTCGCTACAAACTAAGTTGTGTGGGCTACTGACTACAAGAGAAGCAAAGATGACATGTAACCTTAAGAACTGCACACAAGTTAATAATGAATTATTAGTTATAATGTTGTATGAAGGCAAGCTTTTACATTTCAGTGTGTATTTGGTGTTTGTACAGTCATATTTTTATGAGTTTTATCAATGCTTGATGTTTTATGACTTTTTTCTGCACACAACTTTCTCTGCTGTTGCTTAATGGAGTAATATGTTTTACAACAGGTAAAACAAACACACAAGCAGCACCTTTGTTGTGAGCTTAAAGTATAGTCTGCAGTACTACTACTGTATTATGATAACTTTTGCTAGGTAGCATCAGCTGAAAACTATTCCACTGGACAACTTAGAAGATAGTGCCCTGTAATTGCCAGGAAACTGTAACAGAGAGCACCTAATCTCTGAACCCAAGCCATACATCACTGCATGAATGAGAAGGTACAGGTTTAAAAGGCCACCACTCTTTCATTTTAACACAGTCATTTCCAATAGACATCACCTTTAATATTGGACTCCGTTTTTTCTCATGGTTCTGGGTTCAAAGTTCACTTTGGCCTTGACCTCCTGAGGACACCCTGATGCAAGACCCCTGTCCAAACCACAATCCCAGATCATGACTTTAATCTGCAAAACCAGAAATATCTGCTTTTTGCCAGTCAATGTAAGAGACCACACATGGCACTATACAAAGGTCTTATCTGCACCTACTTTATATAATAATGATAATCTAGAGAGCAGCAATAAAACTAATTTTATGAAGAAGTCTTAAGGCAGACCCATGAAATGGAAATAGGCAAAATGACAGTTGTTATTACAGAATGATTTACACTGACTTTTGACAAGGCATGCATTCTTCCATGTTCTTTTTTCTCTTTAGTTTACATAATGGGGGAAGAGAGTTGACAGAAGCACGGGTGTGAAAAGAGTGCAAAGGAGGCAACATGATGCAACCATGACCCCAGCCAACCTCCCCTCTCTCCTGTACATGCTCACTGCTTGGCTAGTTTTTTCCTACACCTTCTGTGTACTCAACACTTTTCTAGGACGTATGAAGGCTGTCATTACAATGAATTAGTAGCTTTGGCTGTGGAAGCTGTTCCATTCAAACTATTTGAACACGCTGGTTTTTCACACACACACACACACAAAAAAACCTGCTGTTTACTATGAAAAAAACCTCTGAAAGATATGAATTGCAATTTATTTGAGATTAGAGCATTTTGTTAGTGCTTTAGTAATGTTTTCATTGTATTAGAAGGAAAAAGTGCATGTCTTGGAATACCACATACCAACTTATTTATTTAGCAGATTCTATCAAAACACAAGATCAGCAAAGAGCATTGCAAATACTGGATATTATTGTATATTTTTTATGGATATTGTAATTTTTTAAATGAATATTTAAATAACAACAATGTAACCCATAGGCCATTTAGACAAGGTCAATATTTGAGCATCCCTAGCCTAGCACTACAGACATTAGGACAGGTCTGTCCATTGCCAGGAATCCCCCGCCAACACCAGTTTGTCCACACACTTGACTCCTCCCTGGCTTCATTTTTCATGACCTCACTGTCTCACTCTAATTGGCCGAAACCAGAGCAAGTCTTCTTTCTGTTCTTCCAAGGAATGTTCTGGAAAATCAAAAACAACTTCCCCTTTATTCAATTACACAAAACCACTCAATTAGGCTCCCATTAGGAGGGAAATATCTGGGAGTGCTTTAGTTGGTTTTACGCCTATTATGTGAATGATGAGCGTGACAGACTTCAGTAATTACTTTCCTTAAAAATGCAGGGGTGGAAAAAACTTAATCATCAATCAATTAAAGGTGCCCTTTTCTGGTAGGGGGTCCTCTACCCTCTTGTGTCCATAAAAAATGTATTGCTTTGCCTGACATTTCTACTGTTTTATATTTATTGTTATATTTTAACAGGTGGGTTTTTATTGCTCAGTTCCTTGAAAAACATATTCTTACAATGAGAGGGGTGCCACATCACCTGGTTACTGATGGTGGAAGATTACTCACTACCAAACTCTGTAACATTTCCTGCACAGCTTTGCGAAAACATTGCCATAGTGATAAGCAGGTGGTCTATCCTCACTAGAAAAGTTATATTAACCCACATGTGAAGAACTATTTCACATAAACTTTGAATTTGGGCTGTAGACAAAATGTTATTGTCTGTGATATATAGTATTTTACACACTGAACAGGCTTGACATGGCTCTTTGCACTTCTTGCAAATACAAATACTTATACAAGCATATGGAAACAAAACCCAACACCAAAGTCATTCACATTCATGCCCCACACACACAAAGGGACACGCAGACGGGACCTTTTGAAGCGGAACCATCAGAAAGGGGGGACCTCGGGAAGATGGGGAAGAGGGGGGGAGGGAGGGTGGTGGCGGTATTTATAGGCAACAAGTGATGGGATGCCCTGGTTAGTGCACGGACCACTGAGCCAGATGACAGACACGCCGCCAAGAGGTCATGTGACTGCATTACTCACCCTGGCGCCCAGTGAGAGGCCAATCATCGCAGGGAGGGAGAGGGCTGGGGCGACTTGAACCCTGAAGGATTATTTCCTTCTTTCAATTAACTGTACATATACTATTTGATTCAATCTTCATTTAAAGGCATTAGACAGTGACCTCAATTTGATTCATGCAGACATTACTTGATATAACAGAACAGGCTTGTAAATAATACTAGCCAATCTGTATTCTCTTTGTTTTACTATGGAACTCAAAGCATGTGTTTAGTGAGTTGTGTATGTAAATATGTAAATATTCAGTGTGCACAGTTCTGTTTTGCTTTGCCTGTAAGTCACTGTTCAGGAGTACACCTCCTAAGGCCCATAGTTACTATTATTATCCATCCTTTATCCCAGAATAATCATGAGACAATAAATATGTTATGTTGCTTGGCAAAAAGGTAGAAGACATACTGTAGGTGGACTGGTGCCTTCACATGAGGCATATGGGGCTGTAGAGTTTATCTGAGGATGTTAGAAGAAAGAACACAATAAACACAAACATCCTAAATTGAAAGGACCACATAAAAGACATCTCTTGTGTGGGCAGGTGACTGTTGGTAGTCCCTCTCTCTTTCAAGTTCAAACAGTGCACATGAAACAGGGCTCTGCCGCCTCAAACAAAGCTGCTGGTGTCGACTGAAACTTATCCGATACCTTACTTTGTTACTTCAGTGAAATAGCTATGAAGCTACGATCTATATAGCAAGTATGTCTTCCAGATCTCAAACCACTGTTTATGATCCCAGCAAAGACCACACATACAGAGCAATCTACCAAGTCATGCTCCACCTCAGCTTATTAAAGCCACTTAAAGTAATTAAACTTACAGCATCTCCTCTCCATTTCTTTACTATGCAGGCTCCATGTTACACTTGGATTAAGCATCTAAGCATCCAGTATCATCTCTCACAACAGCCTAATGGCAAGAGGGCAGATAGAGCAGTGGTTCCCATAATGTGGCATGATGTCCTATGTTATGAATGAATACTGTATTGAAGCAATAACCTGGCTCACTCCTGGCTGGACTTCATTATCGATAGATCAATAGATCGATAGATCGATAGATGTGCAAAATAGGCTCCAAAAGAGACAAGACACACTACAGATCCATGGGAGTAAAGAAAGAAGAGTTAAATTTTAGTATGAATACCAATAAGCAGCCTGTGGTCAGAACCTCACCCCCAGCACACCTCTTAATAGTACACCCTCCTCTTGCAGAATCACAGAGAGAGCTCTTTTGTGTATGCACTAGTCGCATAGCTGGAACCATGGCTGTGTTACGGCCAGTCCACTGACCCACACACCCGCCTTTTAAAGAGGTTTGGGGTCACAAGTTCAAAATAAGGGGACTCGACTGTGAACTCTTTCAAAGCCCCAAAGCCTGCACCTTTCCATTCTCAAGACACTATTTGTTTCTCTTCTATCCTATTTCTCCTCCTGCCCCCTCCGCCTTTGCTCTCCATGCATCCTGAGCGACCTACCCGCTGTCTTAGCCCCTAATTAGCATAGCATCCCAGAGCGAGGAGAACATGAAAGCTAATGGGGGTTGGGGCCCCGTAACAACACCAAGGGTAAGGCCTCAAGTTTCTAACCAGGGCCATCACCTGACCACATTTACATGGGTTTCTACAAGCACAACATAGCCCCGTAGTGTAATACATGATAAATTATTCCAGCTTTTTCTCACTGAATGGAATCTAACCAGAAAGGAACCAGCATCAATATTCAATTCATTTCATGGGAGGTTTTGGTGTGTGCCAGCTATGTTTGTAGGTACTGTGGAAAGGCAGGCATAATACATTGCAGTCAGATCTAGTTTGCTGCGTTTAGTCATATATCAAGCAAACTTAATAAAAACTTTTAATGGTGTTACATATAGCAAAGAATAATGAAACTGAGCTAAACAAGAACAAGAACCATCAAAATCATGATTAAAACAGATCTGCAGAAACTTCAGTCAAAACTAGTCCCAAACCTGCTATCACCAAAGTTAAAATCAGAACAAAAGTCCGAAACAAGTCCAACAAGCCCCAAGACTCCTTCCACATCAGGTAATGGACCTGCCTTACATTTCTAAATTATGATGGGACCATATGGAACTTGTCACTGGTGAATTTCAAACAATAATTTTCATAAGCAGGTTCAGGTCTCACATGGGTGGTCTTAACAACACCTCCCCAATTCAACATGTCAGCACCACTGCACCTCATAAAAATGCTTTGCCAAAGTTAGATTTAGATCCAGTGTGAGATGCCGAGGCAGCATGCTTTAATATATTTCACCTTTCAACCTATCCTCAAAGTAACCATGAAATACAGGCATTAGAATACATAGAAACTTCATATATCTGATTGTAAACTCACCATCCCATTTCCACATGCGGTCCCATCTGCCCAGGGCATGTGCTGTGTGCGGCATCCTTTATGGTCCCCCTCTGCACTCGTACACCACAATCTTTTGCACTGTTTCTGAAATGAGAAGTCAGCAAACTGTCACAACACACTTTAATCACCTGCCAAACACATGTGAATCTTTAAATAGGCACCAAGCAGATATTTCCTGTTGTGTCGCTTTTTTCTTTTACTCTGACTGACATGTTTAATACTACCTCACTGCTTTCCAGAAACGAGCCTGATTCAGTTTCAGTATTCTACAGTAAGGTTTTAATTTGCATGTAGACACTGACTCCTTTTAAGGGGGTTTAGTTACAGGTCAACTTACCATATATGGGCATATTTGGGATCCAGGTCCGAACATCAGCTCACACTGTCTATTGGCGTTGTAGATTTGACCAGGAAGTAGAGTGGGCAAGTCATAAATCCTTCCCACAGGCTCATCTAGTAGGCATTCTCCATAGCCAGTGCTACAAAAAGGGAAGATATCAAATTATTTGTGGCATTCTTGAGTGGTTTGGATACATGTTAAAGATGCACTGTGCAACTTTTTGGTTGGTTAAACTGCTCTACCTAACATTTATTCAATTACAGGTGGTTTTATAAATCAAAAATACATAGAAAACAAGCATTGTGACAGTAAGCCTCTCCACAGAGCTGACCTGTAACTTGGTCTGATTTGTTCTCCAAGGAGATTGAGGTTTTATTTAATGCCATTAATGACATTCCAGGCAAACCAATTTTTGACAGACTCTTCACCAAAAAAGTTACTCAATCCACCTTTAAATAAGATATAAGTGCCTTGCGTAGGACACAACATAACTAAGAACTGACGGAGATGGAATTGAACGATATACTACCTCTCTATATCTTCTGAACTACTGCCAAAAAATGCAAACTGGCAACATCAAAACTCTAAGAAATCTCGTGTCTACTGTCTGAGAAACAACAAAAGCACAGGTGGAGATCACATAGACACAAAATAAGTCAAGCAGTCCTATTCAAAGAGTCTCATCACTACATTGTAAGTCTGTACCATTGACAACCGTTACTCCATGTTAATCCACTCACACACCTGCTCCATACAGCTACAAGCTGATGTCACAGGGCAATAATTACACACAGAATGAACCAGTGTTTCCCTTTCATTTCACCAGTGATGTAAACCTGCTGGATAACAGGTGAGGCTCTATAAAAACTACAGTTGGAGCACATCGCAACATCTTTCATCAGTTGGTCATCTGAGTAATTATGCTTTCAAAAGTACTGGAAATGTTACTGAAAAGAAGACAGGTAGACAAGAGGAAGAGTAGGTCAGGGTCCTTTCAATATTCAGTGTTTGGCAGACATTTTAAAGGTGCATTGTGCAACTTCTCTGGCGCAGGGTCTGTCAGACGCTATTCTCCATGGAGATGTTATTGCTTTGGCTGGAATGTTTCACCATATGGCATTAACCCTTTCTATCTTCATGAAGACCAAAACAAACCACATTACAGGTCAGATCTGTGAAGTGGCAACTCCGCTCATAGTTAGAATGCTGTTAAAATTTTCCACAGTGTTTTTGAGCTATAAAACCAGACGTAATTTAATAAATGTAAGGTAGAGTTGTTTAATGTCATACTGTGGAACATTCCAAGTATATCCATAGAAACAAGCAGGTGGCAGCTCTCCAACCAAAAAAGTTACATAGTGTACTTTTAAGAAGTTTATCCAAATTATTCTCTTGTGTATTTTTCTAAGCGTTAACCGTACTTTCCACGTACAACAAGGTGGTCTTTGAAAGTTACTCATATATCATAGAGTCGTGGTTTTGCTAAAGCTTGAATGACATAGACCATCAGAGTACAATGTTTAATCAAATAGTAAAAGGTCCAGTGCAGTGTGGGCAGATAAATCTTGGACATCATGGAGCTATTACTGGAAAATGAGAGCAAAAAGTCATGACAGAAATGATTGAACCTGAAAAAGCAAAAGGCTTGAATGAATTTGTTGTGCATGATTGTATTTAGAATTTAACTGGTGTTGTATGTCTCAAATGGACAAAAGCCAAAAAAAGGAAAAATAATGACATGTTAAATTTGACGTGCTCCAAATAACTTTTTTCAGAGAGGTTTGAGGAGATAAAACAAAAAAAAAGAAAACTATAAAAACTTAAGTGATACTTTTGTGAATGGGTGTCACTGTAAGGGTCCGATTTGTTTAAGAGTGGTCCAGATTGAATTAGCTTTTGAGTGAGAATGGACAGTAAATACACTGACACACTTGAGCAGGGAGCTAGCCAGAGGAGGAACAAGTGGTACTTTGAATCAATGCATGTCATTGTTGGGTTAAGACAGACATCAAAAGCACTTTAACTATATTTTCAAGGGTCTTTCCCCCACTACAGCCTCATTACTCTTTCCCACAACTATTTTTTACGTAATTGTTAAAGAACTAATGTTTTGCAGCGATTCAATTTAATTCATTTTTGTACAGCCCTAAATCACAACAGCATGGTCGCCTCACGAGATTCAAAAAATTGTTGATTTAAAGATGCTCTATGCAACTTTTCTGGGGGTGGGTGACCCACAAATGCAAACATTTGCCTGAAATATTCCACAGCTTTATAAGTCTTGGATATACTCAGTTACATGTGTGTTTATTGCTTAAAAATGCCTTAAAAACATTCCAGCTGTGCATGGGCCCGCCTTTCCACAGATCTGACCCGCAAGTTGACCTGGTGCCTCATCTTCTTGTTTCCACTGAAATATTAATATTTACTGTAGAACATTCTGGATAAAGCAATAACATCTCCTCTGACACAAGCAGGTGACAGACAATTTAACCAAATAATGAAACTATCATCTGTCAGTAAAAAACAACCCACGCTCACAGGATACAAGGAACTGTATTAACTGTTAACTGTCCTTGGGCATCTTCAGCTCTTAGAACCTCCTAAAAACTCAGAGAAACCTTGAAGACAACCATAGTGAAGGAGAGATCCACTCCCATGGACAATCTCCACTCTCAAACCACATTTACAATGTTTACTGGTTAAACAAAGAAAGATTTGGTGCTTCAGATTATTCTGATGTGAATTTTCCAATCTGATCTACAATAAGGTCAATGGTGGCTGGAAACTATGTAAGCAGAGACACGAGAGCCATTGAAAAACCACGCACCCAAAGATGACCAACAACGCTGTCTTTGTGAACGCCTCAACATTTAACAGTGAAAAGGACGTGAGGAACTAGGGGTCAAATTCAAGCAGGATGTAATTATTAGTGAGGTCCTCAATGGAAACCCCCAAGATAAGATCAGGTCCTGGGTGTAAGGGATGAGTTCAGATAGTAGCAATGCACAATGTTTTTCGACAAGAAGCAAGATCGAAAAGAAATATTACACGTTCCTTACATAAGGTCAACTGAGGCAGATTCAAACAGGAAATTCTCTTTCAACAACAAATGTGCACAGTTTACTTTGTGTTGAGCTGTCTACAAAGTGTGCAAAGGATAGTGAATTATGTTTATATAGACAAATCAAAACAAGTCATTTTAAATAATAGTTAATTAGCCACAAATCACAGATACCACTACAAAACACCTGTACAATTCAGCTTAGAATAAACACTGAGTTGTTGCGCAATAGATCTAATGAATAGGACCACTTATATTCTTCTTCTTATAATATGCATCACCGATTGCCTGGTCACTGCATCTTAAATTTTTTTGAAAATTCTGACAACTGCAAGCAATAAATACTCTGCACGCAGTTTTGGACATGATCTGGTACCGATGAAATGTTTCAATGTTTTAATTTAACTCTACGATCTCTGCATGTCATATTCTTGCATCAGACCAGATTTAAGATTTTAAAGGGGCATTATGGAACTTTTCTGATAGTCTGCCATGTGCTGGTCTCTATGGAGATCTTATGGCTTTATCTGGAATGTTCCACAGTACAGCATTACACAAATTTATCTTTCATTATTTAAGTACAGGACATTTTACTGCTCAAAAATATCTTGTAAACCTGCATTCTTACTGACAGCAGGGTTATCTCTCCACAGATATGACATGTAACCTGGCCTGGTGGTGCCTCTTTATTGTATCCATAAAGATAGATAAGTTTAATGCCATACTGTAGAACATTCCAGACAAATCAACAGCATTTACATGAACACGAGTAGCCTCACTGACGTACTATCAACCAGAAAAGTTGGTCACTCCCCCCTTCACATTTTGAAAGTGCATATATTTAAATGAATACCTACTCTAAGATCTCTGTAATGTACTTGTGGCTACACTTGGACCAAGACCATGGACTCTCAATGTCTAGCAAACAGATACCACTCAACAATTAGTCTTACTCTCTCAAATAGAATGGTTGCTTCTTGCTTGCTTGTTGTTAATAGGACATCAAGCGTCTAGATTTGAATGAGTCCTCTGTCAATTTTGGATACATGTTAGGTTCAAGGGACATTTCCTAGTTAGCCAGAGTGTTGGAGTTGTGTGGTTTTACTTTTAAAATTATTCTATCAGCACAGACATTCACATCGACAGTCTGGCGTTGTAATAGATTTGCCTCAGGTGCTTTGTGAAGTGGGTAAGACTGTTTTTCGTGGCAGGCTAACTATGGCCATTGGCATATTTAAAAAGTGTCTCCACATGTCTCCAACATTCTGGCTAACTAGGAAATGAGGTCCTACGTCCAAAATTCCAGACTGTCCCATTAAATAAGAAGTGTTCGTCACTGTAGATAGCAGAGATAGAGATGAGAGCTAAAGGATCTTGCTTATGGACACAACATCACTATGAACTGAGGGAGCTGGAATTTAACTATACCAATAACGAGCTGTTAAAGTTTTACAATTCATCTGCCAACTGTATACAGTATATTTAAATGAATACCTACTCTAAGAACTCTGTGATGTACTTGCGGCTACATTTAGACCAAGACCATGGACTTGTGTCGTAGTTCAGTGTGGGAGCCATGACATGGTACTGGTGTTTGAGGCCTGATTCGCGACACTTTGGGTTGTCATCGTGTGGCATGTTGAACCTGGAAGAAAGAGAAAAGAAAGAATAAAGGTTAAGGGTGTGGGGCGGGGCATAAAGGAACACACACAAAGTGATTATCAGCTGCTTAGTGGCTCAGCCCAAAGCAAGAAGGATAAGTGTCAAAAGATTTACATTCGGCCATTTTTACCCCACATCTTAACGGGCGCCACACACCAACACTGCTATGGATACATGTGTGAAAAAGAACACATTCATGAAGGCTTAAAAAAACTTGCTTTGAACTATATTTTATTTTGCTTTATCTATGTTATGGTTGTCAAAAAAAATCAATACACTGAGATTAATAGATATTAAAACTAATATTGAAATTTAGGGTGCTTTCTGTTGTGGACTTTGTTTGGCCTTGTTATAGTTAGGCCTGCACAAAATATACTGTGAAAATATCTATAATGCAATACTGGCTGATACAATAACCAATATCGCAAGACAATAAATATATTGGAACAATATAAAGTTTAGTGTACCTTTTTCAGAAAATAATGGACAAAAATGCAAATTTTCCTTATTAAGTCCTACATTAGACTTGGGTTGGTCTTGGTTTTGTCAAGTTTTTAATTTGACTCTGTTTGGTAATAAATTAAGTTTTTACTTAAGTATTTTTTTTTATTTCACTGAGCATTTTGTGCCATAAAGTATATAAAAATATAAAAATAATATAGTTATTCTAAAACATAGTTATAAAATATTATCTTTTTTCTCATATTGTGCAGGTTTACTTTTTTCAGGTTTATTCCTACTTTAGTCACAATTTTGCAAGTGTGGAAGCATCTAAAATACTAATTTCAAGTACAGTATTGACACTGAAGAAAATCACATAAATAGGACAAAATCTGACCTTTCCTGAACAGTTTTTGAATGATCTTCATCTGTATTCAAGACTTCATGGCAATATGAATGAAACTTATTTTGAGATATGCATTGTATATGTACAAAAAATGTTTTCTATTAAAATATATATAACAAGTATCGAGCCATTTCCTTATAATCAAAATCAAGTTTGAAATTTGACTAACCTCTCAACAGTAATCAGTATAAATAGTAACAGTAATTAGTATAAATAGTAACAGTAATTAGTGCAAATAGTAACGCACGACTATGAGAAAAGGCTTGGTTGATCTAAAAACATCTTTCCACAGTTGTACACGTGTTATGATATAAATATATCCACGAGCCAGCTTATCTTTCAAAATACATCCTATTAATACACCTGTTGAAAGCTTTATTAGCCCAAAAAGTGAAACTAAATTGTGTAACTAATGAATCATTTGATGACACGATAAAACAAGTTTTTAGCACAAAGAAAACAGCTGCTTCAAATTAAACCCACAACTTAACATCTGCCTTTTAATGTACTGATGGATTTAGTGAGCAGTTGGCAGTCTAATAATGTATGTTGTCTTGTTTAGGTCCATAATGGTATAGTCCAGAGTTTAATAAGCCCTCACCACATACACATGTACACTAAGTACTTAGAGAAAAGCACATTCACAGAGAAAGCCACACTGCTATGTCAGGCCTGGGATGTTTACTACAGGATGTGGGCAGAGCGGCACTGTTGCTGAGGGTCAATTCATACATGTGCACAACAAGACCTGGCACGGCTGGCATGAGGCCCACTCAGCAGGGGCCAACAGACTGACAGCAAACACCCCCTGAATAATGAAGCCCACAGCACAAAATGAGCTCCACATAGTAATCGGGCTATTGGGCAGTGGTGGAAAGAGTACTAGAGATATGTATTTAAAACTGCAGTTAAAATTTACGAGTTATTTAAGCACAGTGTTACGTTTAGTGAAATTCCCCCCAGTATTTTTACAATGAAGACAAATTGAGTTCTTCCTACATCACTGTTTACTGTATACAATAATGATTTGATTTTGTGGATTGAAATGCACTCAGGGCAAATAGGGACATTTGGCTGGAGAATTTCCAAAGCAGAAGAAACCAAGTCCTTTTAGTGGCATTAAGATGAAAACCAAACATGTAAATCAAACATCAAAGAGCCCAAAGGAAACTACCAACTCATTTAAAATCTTGGCACAAAACTATCACCATTATTGTCTGCTCTCAAATACAACACGCAAGTCAGGATGTCAACACATCATGAATAAACTGTCTTTCCTATAACCTCAGAGGGACCATTCTTCTACTTGTCATGACTGACTCCATATAAACTAATCCATAAAGAAATATTTACTTGAATATCATCTTGTATATTGTATACAATTAAATGATCTTTAAAGCTCCACATGATTATCAAAGACAGATTGTCACGAGTCCACATTGTCCTAGCACATATATGTGATCTCTGTCCATTGGCACATCTATTGCCTTATAATCCCCTTAATCTCTTTTATTAAATCACATGTCTTCACCTCCTAATCTCCAGCATCTTCAACTTTTAGTCTGATGTCTCACTCCTGAAAGTCTGAATATATTGTTAAACAATCAAGAGGAAAACTGTCTGGCCAGCAGATTTAAACCATGTTTGCATAGACAAGACAAGACAAAAAATAAACATGTCAGACTTTCCATTGGAATACTGTGCGATGTGCTTAGATGTAGTTATAACAATTTAACAAGGTCAAACTAATTTCACAGTCAAATATACAGCCAGACCCAGATCCTATTGCATGTGTGTGTGCTTATGTGTTTATACATTAACATAAACACTCTGTATACAATTAACAGAAAGTATGTTATTATATATGAGCTTTTAATATATACGCAGTTATCAATTTATCCAAATCCATCAATGTCAAGTAAATACCTACCCCATGTGTGTGCCCTGTGAACGATGCAGGCACACAGGGTTAACTGTTGGACTGAGCTGTACAGAGAGGTATTAAAGTAAGGCCAGTTATTAAAAGTCAATTCTTTCCCATTATGCACCTGTGTTGGGCTGAAGAGCAAACTACATAAGACCCCTTTTGTTGCTGGCTGTGACAGCCATGACTGTACTTTATGTTAGCACTTCACAATATAAGAAAAATGTTATTTTGAATGACTATGTACACAGTACAATGAAATAATTTCTAATACATTTTAATTAAGTATTGTAACTCAGTTCCTCATCCAAAACATTAAGCAGATGTATTTAATTATAAGTCATATCTCTGAGAGAAGATTAAACCAGGTCCAAAACACCAGAATATTGTGAGTAAATACATATTTAATAACATTTTTGTTTGACTGTTGTTTAAATATGGATATTGTTAGCTAATATTACTATGCCAATGATGTCAAACTGTTGTATGTGTGCATAGTTTAAATCAAAGTAACGTACACATGTCCCAGCTCGTGGGCAATGGTGAAGGAGGCGCTGATGCCGTTCTCTTCGCTGATAGAGCAGCTTCGATATGGGTCGCACATGGTCCCCAGCTCGGCCAGCCCTGCACCGTCACGTACACACACAGGCACAAACATATGCAGCCAAATAACAATGTGTTAAAGGAGATTAAACCATCAAAACTTCAGTTCCATAAGACAGATTAGCACCATGCAGCTGCCCTCCTCCCCTTTCTACCACTCTGCTCTGTCACTATAATATTATTAGCTGACAGCTTGCGATAAACTCATTAGGGCTCAGTTTATAAGCTGTGCTAAACAGAGTGGAAATGTAATCGTAAGAGACTTGGTGAGAAATTAAAAGTAAAAGTTTACCTAAAGTGTCACATTTATCTTTTGCACGGCAGATATCTTCTCTGCAAAAAGTCAAAAAGAATAAAAATAATTTCCATGTCATACACACAACATTCAAGTGAACGCAGGTAGTTGTACCTGGTAATGAGGAGGGCCGTGTCATGGTGTAAAGGGTGGCTGTCATCCTGCACGTTTTGACTGTGTTGCCAAACACAGAAGTTATGGAGAGTCGTAGCAGCGTTAAAGCTCACAGTGGGACCTTCCTAAAGTAGAAACAAACAAGGAAAATTAGTTTAATGCTGCCACATCTTTGTTAGTCGGCCCCAGGGCAACTGACAAAGCTTGTCACAACCAGTATAGCTTTTTTTTAGAGTTTTTGGCTAATATTACATCATCGTCTTTCAATATATTACATACATAATGAGTAATATATTGGGATTAAACCCCCAACCCAGTCACCCTTTATTATTTAACTACACAACTTTCACTAATGCAGATTAAAGGTGCATGGTGTAACTTTTCTGTTGGAGGATCTATCAAATGCTTTTCTCTATGGAGATGTTATAGCTTTGTCTGGAATGTTTCACAGTATAGGATTAAACCTTTATCTTCATGGAGACCAAAGCATACGAAGTTACAGATCAGATATGTGGAGAGGCAACACCGCTCACAGTCAGAAGGCCTGTCTTCTAGGTATTTTTGAGCTATAGAACTGTCTGTAATTTAATAAATGTAAGGTAAAGCTATTTAATGTCATACTGTGTAACATTCCAGGCAGAGCAATGGCAAATCCATAGAAACAAGCAGGTGAAGGATCCCCAACCAGAAGGTTACACAGTGCATTTTTAATCTTTCAGCATCACTGTAATTAATTGTACATAAAACAATCAGTAGTTTGTGTTGTCTTCAGTCTGAAATGATGTATTGTTCCAAATCAGGGCCTTTCTATCCTCCTGGGCCTCATATCATTTGCAGGTGGCGTGCTGTGTTACTATAGTTTCATTTGTGTTTTTCTTAATGAAGGCTCCCATGAGAGTTGAGGCAGACACAAGGCGGGCAGTGTCCTCTCAGAGTGGAGCACACCTGGACACAGCAGCCTGGGACTCACCTGCTCATTGTGGACCACGATCAGTCTGACAATCATGATGTTAATAAGGTTTCCTACGCTTGGGTCTCGGTACACTGCTGCTACCTGCAACACAGACAGAAAGCAAAGAGAAAAATGCAAATCTCCACTATAACATACACACTGTATTAGGAAATTCTATTAATTGTGACGCATGTAACAGACAATAATATATTCATAATTTGAGAGATGAAAAAAATGATTTTATTAAAAATATTTGAAAAGATTTCACTCACTGAAAAATGTATCTGATTTTCACATTTCTGCCATAATTTGAATTATAAACAAGATGCTACGTCTAGAGATACACAGATTTTTGCACTTTTTAGCATATCAGCCTTAAATATTAATCAGAGGCAGATTTTTTGTTTGGCCCATCCAGCTGCCTAAATATGCATGAAAAATATATGCATAAAGTGCCAAAAAATTCACTACACTGCTCTCTATACAGTGTGTGGTAAAACTTTATGTAGATTTTAAGTTAATATGGGGAAAATGACCAAAATCGGCCCTACATGTCATCCCAAAAATATTGGCACAGGAAATCGGCCATCAGTTTCACTGGATTCAGTTGGTATCAGCATCAGCCATGAAAAAAATCACATTGGTCGATCTCAAGCTACATCCAAACAGTAGTTTCCCCAGGGGAAAATTCTTGCCCAAGGACACAACAGTATAATATTTATACATAATGTCTATAATGTATGTATAAATTATCTTGTAATAGAAAATAAATTTTGTCTGATCTTGCACTTAAACAGACATATTTTTCTAATCCTTTCCCTTTCAGTAAAAACAACTCTTCAGTTCGGAGTAATTTTCATCCAAAAGGCTTTATAACAAATTACATATCCCCCAAAGACTTCCATAATGAAAATAAACTTGATGGGACAAACCCACATCTCCACAGTGAGGACATCCAAACACTGTGTTTCTAGTGTTTTTCTCGAGCTCCACTGTCATACACGGTCAGCGGTCTCCTGAGGCCATGCGCGCCCTCCTGACAGGAACTCATTAGCCCACCATAAACATTTAGCTTGTGTTAGCCTGAGGGGAGCAAATAAATGCAGATGTATTCACTGCAGGCAAGACAGTGGTCAGTAGTGAACGTGGCACATATTGTACCTTATCTAGCTAAAGCTTAACAGCACTGGCAATCATTACTCATAGAGATTAATAAGTGATGGTCTTAGCGCATCCCAGAGTTTTCAGACGTTTTGTTCTATCATATGTAGTCCAGACAAATGTCAATAATGAGGGCCATTAAAGGTTCTATGTTACACTAAATTGACTCTTGTGAGCTTTAAACTTATAATGCTGCTACCTCCTCAGAAACATAACTGGAGTTGTGTTTTGTTTCATTCACATATGTTTGAATAACCCTTTATTATGAGTCTGCCTCACCTCCAAAACCCATAATGCTCTTTTCTACCTTGTGATGTCATGAAGCAATAATTTTCAAGTTAACAGCTACCTTTTACACTTAGTTCAGTAGAAATTGACAATTCCAGATCTGAAATCAACCAAATGATTCTAGTGAAGGTGTAAGGAGTTTAAAAACACAGTGGAGCACTTTCTGTATTACCATATGACATCACAAGGTGGAACAGAGTGTTGTCTCTTTGTGAAAAGAACACAGTCTAAATATGCAAGGTTTGTGTGTTAAACATGTGTGAATGAAACAACGCAACTCAGGGTATGTTTTTGATGAAGAAACAAAATTATAACAAAGATCATAAAATAGTGTAATATGGGCCCTTTAAAAGACATGATTCAGTCCCAAACCACTTTACAACATCCCTTTGGTTGGTGACCCAGCAGAGCACTGAATTGGGGTCATTTAAGGGTTTATTACCAAAAAGGTCACACACAGGAATGCTACACACCAGTATAAACTGGTTGCATTCAAATATATACTAGTACATCAAAGTGGTAGTGTTTTGTTACTGCACCAAGTCTGGAATAAAATAAAGTGAATAAAGTTTAAACAAGAGCCTATAAAATTTTATGAAATATTTACAGTTTTTTTGTTTTGTTTTGTTTTTTATAGCAAATCATAAAAAATAAAGACTTTGAAGATGCTAGTGTTAGATATTTTAAAGATGCATCATGTAATTTTTTCAGTATGGGCGCCACCACCATGGAGTTGTTATTGCTTTGCCTGAAGTATTCCACAGTACGGTATAAAACATACAGTATGCATTACATTCAATTAAGCGTTTTTTTATTGTCCAAGTGGGGGTCGCCCCTCTACAGATATGACCTGTAACTTTGCTTGGTGCTGTCTCTATGGAAATAGATCGGTATAATATCATATTGTGAAACATTTCAGGCAAAAGAGGTCTTCTACCAGAAAAGTTACACAGTGCACCTATAAGTATTAACCTATTGCATTACGTTGAATATGTTAAAATGTCCATTTGAGTAGAACTAATACTTACAAAAGGGAAAAAAAACTTGTATTGTTTTGCATATACTAAACTAGGCTTTAAGATGGATGCCCTCCTTAATCTCCATTTGTCTTGGTTTGAATTTAGAAAAATCAGACTAGCTTGTTGCTAAAAGAAATTAAAAATAACAGCTACAAAAGACTAATAAAAGAGGGCACATTTTCTATTCACACATTGTTAGAAATGAATTGTAAAAACATTATTTTACTTACTACTGACATGATTGTGAGGATGTAGTGCTCCAGATTGTGACCGTGATGCCGCACCATTTTAGCATCAGCCGTCACCATCAGCTCCACATATCGAGGGTAGGACAGGAACCTCTTTCGTCTGCTTCTGACTTTGGGATGCTCTGTAGTGTGGTTGTTGGTGTTGATTTCGGAAGCACTGATCATGTCTTGAAAGTAGTCCTGGTCCACTGCCATGTTACCTGGCTTTCTTGTGTCTCCTATTGGAAGAAAAGCAAAAATAACTGTTTAAAGAGCACATATTATGCTATTTTCTGATCTATAATGTTGTTCCCTTACTGCAAACATACCTCGAGTTGTGTTTTGTTTCATTCTCACATGTTTAACACACAAATCCTGCATATTTGGGCTGACTTCCCTCAAACACAAAACACTAATTTCCACCTTGTGATGTCAAGTGGTAATGTGTGTTTTTAAACTCCATACACCTTCAGGAACACCTTCACTTTCAGCCATTGCCAATCTGTACTCTCTACTCTCTTTACTACAGCTTCATGACACTACAAGGTGGAACAGAGCATTTTAGGCTCTGACGATGTAGTTAGCCTAATAATGCAAAATTACTTCAACATGTATGAATGAAATAAAACACGACTCCAGGTATGTTTTTGATGAATGAGGTAACAGCATTATAACATGGCTTAAACCAGTCCATTTTGCTTAATATACAACCTTTAAAATCAGGCATTAATATAGCTGTTCATATGCAGTAGTTCTATGGCATATGTACAGTTAATAGTGGCCTGGAGCTTAGGGAAATTCCTATGACATAACAAAATACATTGGACGTGTATGGAAAAGTGTGTCATGCCATAGTCCTGGAAAACAGTTGTACCAAGAGACACAGGGTCAGTCCTTTAGCGGTGAGATTTATGAGTTTTTAGGTCAAACTGTGCTCCATACATACAGTGTATCTTACTGTTAATGCAGGGGCCACATTTAAAAATTGAAAACCAAGTTATAATTACAAATCACAAACAAGTCAGTAAGAATGAAAGTTTCTTTGATATGGATTGTACATTCTGATTCTTGGCTTGGAACTGAAAAATGACCCATCTTGCAGTTGTGGAGAAAAAATATAGCAAATTTGCACTCAAGTAAAAGTACAGTTACATGGCTAAGATGTACTCAAGTACTATCTCCAAAACTGTACCAAAGTAAGAACAATTACAGCCCTTGAAAGGCTGATTGAGGACTTTCATCGTTCTCATTAACTCCTATGATTTTAAATATAATGAACTGAAGCGGAAGAAAATAAAGGGAAAGATCCCCGCAAACGCCGCTCCCTGCAAATGCCACGCCCCTCAGAACGTTGCGCCCCTCAGAACGCCATGCCCCTCAGAATGCCATGCCCCTCAGAACACCACGCCCCTCAGAACACTGCGTACTAACTCTAATAACCCTAAGCTTAAATCTAACGCTAGTCATAATCCTAACCATAGCCCCAACACTAACCCTAACGATAACTCTTAACCTAACTCATCAATTTTTAAAAAATTTTGCATGTGTTTACTGAAAAAAAAAAAAAAATTCAAAATGGCGAACTTCCCGTTTGTAAAGGGGCGTGGTCACAATATACATTTTTGTACCTATTGCCATTATGCATTTGGCTATCTAATTTGGTTTAAGTAAGTAAAGGTTCGTTTAAGGACGTCCCATTGGCAAGGACACAATTTTTGCTTGTTACCATGGCAACATAATGTAAATGGGGTGTGGGCATCATTGAGAGTTTTAATCGAGACCATGTCACAAATGTGGATACCAAATTTTGTATATCTATGACAAATAAAACAATTTTTCCATACAAATTTTCTAGGGGGCGCTATTGCACCCACTTTTCTTACATCAGTCCGTTCAGGGTGTGAACCTACGATTAAAATTTTAGTAAAATCGGCCAACGTTTGTGGCCATTAGGAGCATTGCTTTGAGATACTAATAGGCCCTTCGCCAGCCTCTGGCGCTCGGGCCTAATAAGAAAGAAGAAAGAATAATATTCTGATACGAGAACGCTTTTTTTTGGCCGACAAACTATACATTTTCGGAAATCTCTGGCAGATTGCTACATCATGGCGAGGGTCCCTGGTCACTATGGGCGAGTCACGTCGCGTCATTTCATTTTCCAGCCACTAGAAGTATCGCTTTGTGATACTAATAGGCCCTTCGCCAGCCTCTGGCGCTCGGGCCTAAAAATGACCTCACAAAAGTACAATTACTCCCAAAAAATCTACTAATTTACAGTAATATATGTACTTGTGGAGTCACATGTTGTTCTTAACTGCACTAAATACCTTCAGATTATTGTGGTTGTAATGAAAAATGCACAACAATTCCAACCAGGAAATAAAATTTCTTAAGGATAGACATTTTAAACTAAAAAAAAAAAACTACATTGAACCCATTACACTATGCAAAGAGAGAAAGTCCAGTGTTGAACAAATAGACAGGGTTATTCTAAGTGCCCTGAGCTGTGTAAACTGAAGCGCTGCTCTCAGCTGAAGTGCACGTGTGGATCTGGCTACAGTGGGAGATTCCTGCACCATGACAGAGTGCCGATAAAACAGGGAGACAGAGACCGGCGCACCAACATGTGTAAAGAACAAGTATCACTGGGGGAGAGAAACGCAGATAAATGCTTGCAAAAGGTTCAGGTCAAGGCTAAGATAATTACTCATAGAATATCTGTCATCAGGGACGCCCCACAAGACTGACAGCTCCAAAACTGGTCATATAGATGGAAAATATGTCAGCTGTACACATCTGCAATATAGGAACCTGATAACTGCAAAGTGGAGATGGGTGATATATCAAAAATGGATTATATCGCTATTGTTGTTTGCAAGATGTCAAAAAAATATATATAATATCAAGTACAGTATATCGCCTATAAATAAAAATATTACACATGTTAGAAATGTCTAGTGTACTCTTCCATACTTAGACTTAGGCAAACTTTATTGATCCACACAGGAAATTATTTGGATACAAGGGTATTAAATGACATTTCTGCCTTTTTGAGGTTTTGAGGATCTTTTGAGGTCCATTCACATTTTGTGCTATACTTGAACCACAATCAAAACATACAAGCATGTTAGCATTCCTGATGCATTGGAAAATATCATCTAAATTGTTATTGAGATATTTTGTCAATATCGCCTATCCCTATAAAGAAAAGAAGAAAAAAATGTACGCATTCTCATTTGCTAAGCACAAAAAGCCAAAGTGCACTGTGGACAGTAGTATTTAATTCACAGTGTTTATAACCCAGGCATACTTTGAAGTCAGTGATGCCAGACGACCTCCTCTGCATAGGATAACCCTGAAGTGTTGTCTTTACTGTCTGTGTTCTCTTCACATACGGCACACTGATTGTTTAGTTCAGGGAGATACAGTAATCTGAGAATATTGAAAGGTTGATTCCAGGAGGCAGGCGGGGTGAGCCATGACACCCTGGCACAGTGGCACACAGCGTTTGCCACCGTGATCGCCTGCACCGTGCCAGCGCTGGTGTCCAAATCAGAGCTTAAGCCGCCTGTTTGGGCTGCTGGACCAGAGCACGTCTTTGTATTTTGTAGGAAAAATGTGTTGCAGGCCAACAGCTGACACTAAACCCCTTAAACAGACTCATCACTGCAGACGGCCGGACATCAAAGAGGCCAGTGGAGCGCAGACAAGTACCTCCATCCACAGAAATGGTGTGATTCTCTGAGACATGAAACGGAGAAGAGGAGCTGAAACTGAAAATATGAACTGTGATGTTACCCGGTTGAATAAGTTACTTTATTATGATGCACAGCTGTTTCTAAGATAATTTCAAGATGTAATGACAATGTTGGTGTCCTTGAGTCTGAAACTTGTACCACACAAATTTAAGTAATTTTATACTGCATCATTTTAAACAGTCCCACAAATAGACTAGTGCTAGGCAGTTAGGTTAGATAGTTTCACTGATACACCCCTTTCATTTATTAAGGCATAGGAAGGGCAGACATAGAAGTAACATGATATGACTACATCCACATCTGGCAGGTACATACCTTGACCTGTAGTTACATAAACATGTTATTTGGCATGTCTTTAATCAGACGTACACATGTGTTGACCCTATAAAACCAAGCTATTTGTTTGACGGAGCCGATTAAAAATGCCTATATAAAAAGCACAGTTAAATCAAATCCAGGCTCTTGTAAAGTAAAGCATTATCACACAACATGTCAGCCATCTAGGCAGCGTGTAGTCTGCGTATGCACATGGGATCATAACAGCTCACTATAGAAACCTGTTTCATTTTGGACCTGCGTGAGTTGTTTTCTGTACATCCCTTCAAAATGATCTCATAGGGATTTTAAGACACATCAAAGAGCTGCTCTTTGACTCTCCTTTGGGTCTCTGTCAAAAGTATCAATGTCGGGGGCTCAATAATAGGGAACACACAATTCATTGTTGAACTAATTAACATTCTTTTACAATGGCCCGCTGAGATCTGCAGAGCCCTGTTCCCCGGGTGCCAATTAAACAGACAGTAGACCCTACATGTGAGCCCAGGTACTGCCGCGCGCCACTCATGTAAGCAGCAGGCACTTTGGCTTTAACTGATGCAAACCTAAACATTCATAACACTGCAGACAGAAGCATAATTAAGTGTAATTCTGTGGCGAGACAGGGAGAAATGAAGCTAATTGTTGCTGGTGAAGGAGGCTTTTTAAAATGATGTGGCTTAGCTTCTGACCTTACCGAGATTATGATGAAAGACAGCTCATCGGTCATGTAAAATATGTTTGGAGATTCACCAGTCCTTCAGACAGGGAAGTACAAACAATATTGCAATTTTTTGGTCAATTTTTACTAAAAGGGACGCAATCATATATTATAGCATACTTTTTATAGTGTATTATTTAGCACACTGGCTATTGGCCTTAAATCTCCAACATATGCCAATTTTTTTTTTTTTGTCAATTTTCTGCCTTAAAAATACACACAAGTCTTTATATTAAATTTAATTACAAAGAGATAGCTGCACAAAACAGGACTACAGTTATCTTAAAGCTTTGTGGTAAAAACAGGGCTTAGGGTGGAATTTGTAGTAAATTTAAACAATATAATTTAGTGAAAATTATCAAAACTGACCATATGTTTCGGCATTCAAAAATATAGGCAGAGCTTATTGGCCATCGGTTGATCAGTAATGCAAACAATTGGTGACAGAATCAGCCATGAAAAAACCCATATTGGTCAATCTCTAGTTCATAACCTCTTTTATTAGCACTGCACACGTTTATTGTTGTATTGAAAGGACAAACTGCAGACCTACCAAAAACACACTACTACAAGTAATTTCTCTAACAGTGGTTTATGATTTCAAATCAGCATTCAGTTCACAGTGCACACATTGAACTCATTTAGAAGAATTAACTAATAGAGGAATCTAAAGTACATGGTTAACAGGTTACTAGGGTGGCAAATACTTCAATTGCTCCATTGGACCCACAGTGAGTAAACTGCCTCGACGGTTGACAGGGGCAGAAGTAGCCCCAGCTGGAGTATGTCAAAGGAAGTCATGAGACAACACACAATATAGTCAGTTTAATGGGGGTGAGGCCATAGGGCTCCCAGACACCTCACACACATGGCAGCTATTTGGGTGATGTGGTACCAATGGAAGGGCTGCTTCATTACTGGACAGTGAAGAAGCAATACTAACTAAAGTTAAGTTAAGTTAAGATAAGCAACAATGGTACAATCCTATTTAAAGCCATAAAGATGAAAATTATGAACAATTCCTATTAGATGACGATAATTAGATATTAGGTTACAAGTTACAGTTCACTGATCACACTTGCATAATCTCTTAGCCAAGATGGCATTAACATACTAGCTGCAATAGAGACCAGGTGTCCACTCTTTACCCAGATTTGCATGTTGATTCAAAGTTTTATGTCATTAAATATATCTCCTCAGATCATTTCAAATATGTGTTTTTTTTTGTGGAGTGAGAGTGCATCCATCCATACAAAAACCCTAATAGCTGAATTATTTGTAGTTAGACAAAATGTGATGATGTGTAAACAACTTCTTAGCAAAGAAAAACAAACTCACTGCTGACCAGCAATGTGAGATTTGGTTTGTCCAGAGGGCGTAGGCTGTTGTTATCCTTGTGGAGCCATGAGACAATCCGAAACCACCTCTAATGCTAAAAGGTGAAAGGTCGCTCATCACACCCGGGCCAGCCACCTTTTCTGACCCCTGTCAAGAGGAGTGGAATTCAATGGGCTTGATCAAGACATGTGTTTGGCACATAGAAAATACAAGGCCCATCTCTTGAAGAAACTCAAGGTCATCTCCAGCCAATGCAGTAAGTGACTCCAAACAAAGAGGGAAGTGAAGTCACAAGCAACAAGTGCTCTCATTCACATACATGAAAGAGCAAAGGGAGAGCGGGCACCCATTCAAGTCGGCTAGTTCAAACCACAGGCAGGGGGAGGGCATTTTTCCATATAAATGAACCCATTGACCAAAAAACCTGATGGTAGCATTTCAACTTCCATGTATACGCAGTGGGCACCAAGGGGGGAATCCTATACAATGATTATGATGAAGGTCAGGGGGCACTGTAGCCATGTGTGCCATGTATTAGACTATCAAAGACTGTCACTTTGCTCTCAGCTAGACGTCAGCGTATGAAAGAAACAATGCCTTTAGCCACTAATGTTTGTTGTCACGCTTGTCATAATCATGTCAAACCTTGTTTCAAACCAAAATGGACACAGTGAGACTTCACAGGCAGTCTTTGGGAAACAGATACAGTACAATTTCCCTCATTGCATCTTAAACTTGTCTTCACAGAGATTTATTGTAAAGAAAAGAGAAGAAAACCATGGGAAGAATCAGCCCCTATCCAGCTACCCTCATCCAAACTCAATTCTGCAAGACTTGGAGAGAGACAGAGACCCAGTGAGAGGCGTGTTGTGATTTCAATGCAGTAAGTGTTTTTAAAAGGCATATCCCAGTAGGGTACAACAAGGTGCAGTGTTTTTGAAACATTAATCACCCACTCAGCCTTAATCTGCGCTATAGAGGTTTTCCAAACAAGAAAGAAAAGCCACCCAGGTTTAGTGACAGGGCAGAAGCCATATTTTGCTTTTAGCTTTAAATTTAGAGTATCTGCTTACACTGAAAGAATATGAATTAAAATGAATAACCTACTGAAACTGAATAACCTGCATGTTTGCATGTTCTCCCCATGTCTGCAGAGGTTACTGTAGTGATATTTCTGCACTTTTGTGAACAATTTTGTGCAATACTTGAACATTTACAAGCACATTTTAGCCCATTCCAGATGCAATGTTAACATACCATATGATATCATTGTCAATATCACCCAGCTCTAAGTGACACTACGCTTAAATAAGTATTAAAAATGAAAACAAAAAAAAATAGGGGAAAATGTTATGTTTATTCACCCTTCACCAGCACTACAAAGACCCTTACGTGCACTTAAGTTTCCAACAGGTACACCACACATGAATGCAAACTCAAGTGTCTCTGTGTGTCACCAATGTCAAGTGCACATGTGACAACAAGACTTCATGTGGTGAAATGTACTGAGGTATAATCACAACGTACCCTGTTTTCAGCACGTCTTGAGAAGTTTTAAAGACACTGTTCAAACTTTGGAAACTCTAACAGCCTCTGCACACAGAAGTCCCTGTTTTTTCTTGCCCCATAGGGAAATATGAGCCTCACAGTCATATCAAAAGGAACAGATTATCTCAGCAGAGGCGCTCATATCTCCAGCTGATACACATTGCTTGTTTTTTCCTTGTTCAAATGGAGCTTGATTCATCTTTGTAGTTTGTTTTCCCCTGTATGTTGTGACTTTAAAATGTCCATAAAAAATTAGTGATTCATTGTCTTCTAGGGTAAGTATTGGCAGCTGACTGGTCACTGTTCCACTGTACTGGAATAGTTGATGGAAAAGGTTCATAAAGCAACAAAAGTGTAGTCTTTGATACTTAAAGAAAACCAAATTACAGCACACTTAAAAAATATATGATTTGGCGTGGGCCCTTAAAATCACAATCGATCAGCAATGAATAAACCACAAATATATGCAGTAATCTACACACTTTCTGTTAACTTAATTCAAAGATGACTCAAGGGAACACTTTACAATAACTACACCTAATTAGCTTTAGTAAAAAAATAGTACATTAAAAATGACTCAGGCTTAGTAACTACTTAATTAAAACCCTATAACTAACCCTAACCTAACTAAGTCTAAATTAATAAACCATTCATAAACTTTTTTATTATTATTACAAATTAAGCCATTCTTCATGCATTATTAAGGCTACTTGGTTATTATAAAGTGTAATAACAACTGATAAGTGTATTAAGTTGAATTTATGGTACAAAAGAATGCAACAAGCAATACTAGTATGTTTGACACTATGGTTTAAAATCTCCACCAAACAGCTGCAGATTGCTAAATTTAAGAGCAGGAGCAGAAGGAACAAGTGTTTTGCAGACAGGATGACACGCACAGAGACCAGTGTTTATATCTAACCTGCTAGTAGCTGCGTGCACCGCTCTCTTTCCCATAAAAAGGCAGAAGACCTGTTAGTCTAGGCTCCGTGTGGCCTTCAAAGACACCATTTATCGGTGGATCTGGAGAGGAGCCTATCTGATAAGTGCAGGCAGCCGCAGCTCAGGACACCTCCAGGTCCTTAGGCAGGCCCTCAGCGTCTTTGAATCCTCTTGTGTTTACCTGCTGCCCTTTGATCAAACTAAAGCAATCTTGTCTCTATGTATAACTGGGGCAAAGGATTCTGCTTCACCAGCACTGTGAAAACATTTAGCGATTAATGTAAATATTTAGGATTTGGCTTGAAATACTAATGCTAATGATTCAGAGGAAGTATTCATTCACAGTGTAAGAATTTTATTTTTATTTTTTAGTGCATTTTGTAACTTTTCTGGTGGAGGGCCCTCAAATGCTTTTCTTCATAAATATGTTATTGCTTTGACCAGACCAAGTTACAGAACAGACCCCACTCACAGTCAGAATGCCTGTTTTTCTAGGGCTTTTTGAGCTATGAAACCACCTGCAACTCAATAAATGTAAGGTAAAGCTGTTTAATGTCATACTGTAGAACATTCCAGGCAGAGCAATGGCATTTCCATAGAAACACACAGGTGACAGAGCAACCACAAATGAACCAGAGTTTTTCTTAAAAAGTGTGCACTTCTACTCTAACATCAATTTCTCTTTTAACTTAGTCAATGTATGCATCTATCTATCATAACAGTGAACTCAGGATGATCTCCAATAACCCCCATGCTGATTGATAAGAGGCAATCCACTTTTAGCTGTCATTGTCCACATACGTAGTTAGCAAGTGGGTAAAAGAAAAAAACATATTCAGGCGGTATTTAGCAGCCCCATCAGACCGGTCCCAGTCCTTTAAAAAATGACCCCGCACAATGGCCTGAGCATGCAACAATGGCAAAGTTCAGACAACAAGCAAATCAAGCAGTTCGAACATAAAAGATTTATAGCGTTGCCTACAAAAGCCCACCCACTGCGTTCTTTGCAAAGACAACTCTTGGACCCTCAATTGCTCTGAACTCCCATCGGTCAACCCTGCTTTTTTCTCAAGGGCCTCTCCACCAACCATAAAAATCTAATGAAACACTCCTTTTTTTCAACAGCAAACTGCAAAATAATTATTTCTCCCCTCAAGCATTTCTTGGAGAAAGTTTAGCCTAATTACACTGCACTTTTCTATAACACCACTTCATCAAATCTTTAGGGAGGACTTCAAGCCAAAGATCGTGACTAACTATGGTTTATGTTTTACTGCCTTGCAGACAGAGCAGGTCATGAAGAGGTAAGTGTTTGTGGTAGAAGTCAGACAGACAAAATGCTTACAAACAAAGTGTGGTTAGGCCATAGTCTGTTACCTGAGGCTCCACAGGGCTCTGTCTTGGGGTCAGACTCGTAGTGATTTTTCGTTTGTTCTCGTCTGTAGACAAGATGAGGTTTGTTGTGTTCTTCATCAGGCTCTTCCCCTTCAGGATGCATAAGGGGCTCCATGAAGTACTCGCCACGTTGTGTAGTAAAAGTTCCAATCTAAAAGTAGAGAAAAAAAAAAACAAATAGTCACTGACAGTGTTTATGTGCACACTCTGTTCTTTGCATAGTTTGGTAATTTGTCTGCTGTCATTCAGTGCAACCCTCAGGCTTCACGTGGGGTTAAAGGCTCCACCTGACAGGTAAAGTGTGGAAAGAGCACGCTGAATCAGAAAGGTCAGAGAATATCAGTTACAGATTATTGTCACAGTATGGCAGCATAGCCAACAACCCATCCAAGGGAATGACACAACATGCAGAAGATAGGGCTGTGTAAATAAACACATTTTAAGCAAGACTGATTCTCTTATTTCAATGATCAGCTTAGTTCTTTTTAATGAAATGGTCCACAGTCAATCAGTAAAAGCGTGGTTTGGAAGACATTTGTTGTGTATTAAATGGCTTTCTTTATGTTTAAAAAAAATATGATTGAGTCTTAAATAAATCAAAAGAAAATCAATTTGAAAACTGATAAATACATTTAAAATGTGACTATTTTTGCCTTCATCTCTTTAAATGGAAGATAGTAAAAGACTATTTGCCCTGTAGCTTGACTTAAGTGACATCATCATCAAGTGTCAGTAACAGAAGAATGCTAATATTGATTTGGCAGTTCAGTCAATTCCAAAGCTCCTTAGCTCAATCAGCCATGAGGCACAGGCTGTTTGTATGGTGATTCTGCACATACTTAAACAGGATATTGGACCCTGGAATGTTTAGGGCAGCATTATTCCATGAGTGTCCTCGCATGTGATAGATGTTTGACAGTGGAAATCGGATATGGAAAACAGGCTTGTGTACATTTCCTCTCCATCTTTCGAAGAGTGAAGGATTACAGTCAGCTGGCATGTATATACAAAAGTTCTCTAAAAGCTCTGAGTGCTACATGTGTTCACATCACAAGTGTACGAACAAGCAAAGAAAACAACATAAGTACAAACAACATAAGTACAAGCAAAGTGAAACTGGCTATGTTTCCCAAGTCTCAAATTGCTTTTCAACTTTCAATTCATGTGATTTTGCTGATTAGATACATTTCAGAAACAAAACATAATCAACTAACTATGCAGTCAGTTCAGGAGAGGTGGATAAACACCCTCTAAAAAAGGTTTCAGTTCCTTCAAAGGTGACGTTTTGAGGTTTGGTTTAAATAAAATTAATTGCTATAGCAACATTTTTTAAACCCATGGATAACAATTTAGAGATGTAACTCTTAACAAGGTCTAGGCATAGCTCAAGGCATAGTAAGAAATTAATATAACTAGGAATGCATGATCCAGGTTTTTCAGTTTTGATACCAATTCCGATACTAAAGGTTAAAGTATCTGCTGACCTGATATTAACTAAATTTCCTTTAAAACAAAATAAAATAAGACAAAACTGATTATCTCTTAAGTAACTACAGAACACTTTTATAAATACAAATGCGAACATTATAAGGCTTTCTGGGCCAACTACAAACTGGAAATGGCCTCATTACATCAATTTATATGTCCAACCAGGATATTGGCAGAAGCGATATTTGGATGTTAATATCTAGTCAAATCAAATTAGTGCACCCCTAAATATAATTGATCATAAAGAAGATGATACACACCAAAAAGCTGTTGTTTGTTTATTATGTAATTCATCTTCTTCCACTGATTTTTGTTTAACAGTTGCACAGTGACCAGTTTGTTTCAGAGCTGTTAAATGTGGACTCCCTAAAAAGTTGACCCGATTTTCCCCTTGTTACTTCCCATAGAACTGAAGATGTGGCCGGGTTGACTCATCCTCCGCTTCTTTTATGTGGCACGTTGGGCTTGTTCAGCAACTAACATTTCCCACGGGTTCCTCTGGTTTTTCACTAAACTTCTCTGGCAGCATCTCTCTGCCACAGCTCACTCTGAAAAGGCCAAACGCTTCTCAACCCCACTACCACCAACAACCCCCAATATCCCTCCTGGGGACAGCTTTGAGCCCCTCTGGACCCAACGCAAACCTGTTTTCTCCTAGAATGACCCCTTTGTTTTTGGCTAAATTATTCTTTAATGACCTCATCACAACAAAATGTGCTAGCCAAAGTGATCATACAAGGCCTATAGCTTATTTCCATAGGCTAATTGTTCCTGAGTGATGGTGCAGATAACCAGCCTACAATTAAGTTTATGCCTAAATCAGGAAGTCAATCATCAAAGCTGGACCAAGGGGTAATTAAACATTTATGAGTCAGTTACCTTCCCTCACTAATTCCTCAATATTTATCTACTGTAAAGATGCACTGAATGACTTTTTGCTGGAGGGTTTGCGACTTGCTTGTCTCCATGGATATGTAATTGCTTTGCCATGAATGTTTCATAGTATGGCATTAAACTTATTTATCACAATGAACACTGATGACACCACCAAGTCAGTCACAGTAAGAATCTGTTTTAAAGGTATTGTTTAGCATTCATCCAAAACACTGAATGAATGCAAGACAGGTATGTTTAAAGAAGACATATTGTGCTCGTGTTTGCTTTTAAGTTATAATTTATGACAACTATGGGTTACTAATAAAAAGAAACATGTCCGCTGACCTCCACAAACTGCAATGCCCAATGAAAACTGGCATCGGAGTAAACATCATCACAACAAAGAGCTGTGAAGTTGTCGCCTCTGATGGATAGCTGCAGATCATGTGAGCGAGTAGAGGAAAGTCGATTTTACATAATAGTTCTAGTTTAATGCTGTCCTGTGGAACGTTCCAGGCAATGGAAATTTAAAGATGAGTCATTTATCTATTCTATTATGATTCCTCATTATACTAGTTTCTATGGGTGTATCTTGCCGCAACAGAAAGGGATATTAAATGCTGACTAAGGTACTTAATAGATCAGTCACCACACAGTCATAGAAG